AGAAAGGCTCAGAGAGTGTACAGGGTGTTCCAAAAATGTTGTAACACCTTGAAAGGGGTGATTCGGGAGATGATTTGAAACAACTTTTTTCTTAGCGAAAATGTTGTCCGAGACTTCGTTGAGGAGATATTAACGGAAAACACTAACCAATCAGAGCGCGAGTATGCTGGTGGAGCGTAAGCTACGCGCTAGGCGGCTTCGCTCATACGCTACCGCGAGAGCTCCAACGGTATACGCGCGCTCTGATTGGTCAGGGTTTTTTGTTAATATCTCCGTAACGAAGCCTCGGACAACATTTTCGCTAAGGAAAAAGTTGTTGCAAATCACCTCTACCCTGTATATACAAGGTGTCCCAAAAATATTGTAACATCTTGAAAGGAGTGATTCGGGAGATGATTTGAAACAACTCTTTCCTTAGCGAAAATATTGTCCGAGGATTCGTCGAGGAAATATTAACGGAAAACACTGACCAATCAGCGGGCGCTCCATTGGCATACTCGCGCTCTGATTGGTCAGTGTTTTCCGTTAATATCTCCTCAACGAAGCCTCGGACAACATTTTCGCTAAGGAAAAAGTTGTTTCAAATCACCCCCCGAACCACCTCTTTCAAGGTTTTACAATATTTTTGGGACACCCTGTATAATTTATACGCGTACTGTTACATTATTCGCTACTCTAACCTCTGATTGATCACGGTGAAAACTTATTTAGGGAATTTACATTTCCCTCGATAGCATTCACTTGTTATTATTATTTACCAGTGCTAGCACACTAATGTCATCAATTCTCGAGACCTTTACTAGTATCTTTTAAACTATTGGATTTCTAAACTTTTACCTTGGATTTTCGGACTTTTCAGGTCAACTATAAGATTTGATAAGTTTTAACCAATAATAAATGGCCCCCTGAGACAAAGTTCAGCCAAGTGAACCACCCCTGAACCAGTATATGTATACTCACTTGAAGAATTTCGTCTGCTGTATCGTCTCGCAGTAGTTCGTCAGAACCTTCAGAAGCGAGCTGTAGTTGACGGTGCTGGTCTTCAGGATGTCGTCAGCGATTTCTGGTATGAACACCTGGGTCTTCTGCTCCTCGACGATCTCCAGCTCTCTGGCCACCAGTTCGTCGTGCAGTTTCATGTACTTTTCTTTCGTTTTTTGCAGCTTGTTCTGCTGATGGACCACAACCGGCTCACTGGACTCGATCCCAACCACCGTACGCACGCACATGATTCTTCCTCGAAGTGAGATACGCGACGAATAAAATAATAGTTAGTCTCGAAACGTGCCGAATCGTGTTTTGGCCAATCACACAGGGCGGTATCCTGTAAGAATTTCGATGTCGTTTTGGAAGACAATTTGGAAATCACGACGCGATCGAACGCAATCACGAACTTGTACTGTCGCACAGTGCGCCGCGGACGCGGACGTGACCCCTTTTTATACCTCCCCACCATCGATGCACGATCGACCAATGACGGGGATCAAACGATCGGAAGGGTTCGCTTGGGTTCGCTGGTCGGGAAATCCTGAATTCTCGGGGGATGAGTTCGGCGATCTGTGAAGATGTTTCCGTAATGTGCAGAGTTAAATTCGATGTGGAAGCGTACTAATTAGTTCGAATCGTTAATTAATACGCTGGATCTACCCAATTGCGCAGATTATATGATTATATGTATAGAAGTAACGTAGTTAGTACGTATCTTAGGCTTCCTTTTTGGTTAGGTTTCTTTTTCTGATAAATTTTAAGTTACTACGATACGATAAGACTAGTTTCTATGCGAACCTATTATACATTTAGTACTAAAAGGACTAATAAAGTTCCTTCGAAATTTCGTAACTAATTAACTTCACACAATACGTCAATCGTGCTGTGAAATAAATCGGAAGGATTTCGCGATCGGATCAATTTCGCCATAGGTTCGATATACAATAGGTTCGATGCGTAAAACGATAATATCGTTTGATGTGATTCATTTTCTTTCTTCCTCGGATGATTTAAATTGCAATTTAAAGTTATTTCGATTAAATGAGTCAGAAACTAAATACAGATTGATCACAATACTTCGATTAGAGGTAGAATGAATAACTAACATATTAAGTCCCTTGTGTACCTAGTCCAGTTTTTCTCGCATTCTTCTTCGATATTCATTTGCAGGAATTAATTCCAGAAAAGAAAACGATCCATTATTCAATCGAAAATGCGACAAGGAAGAAAAGACACGAGAAAAGAAAACAAGGAAAGGGTCTCGTGATACATCGAGCGTAATTGATGTTTTTTTATTCGCTTGATATCAAACGAAGGAATGTAACATGTCAATGAAAGATTCTTGATATATAGGATTGTTTTTAAGGTGATCCTTTTCAATGGAAACTTTTCAGACCATCACGTTCGCGAATGTGCAATTTGACTGAAAGTCAAGGACGATGCGTACGCATCTTTAACAGAGAATAAAGGTCATCTTGATATTCTTTAAGCGGAACACGTTGTCATCCGCGGTACAATAAAAACAAATAAAAACGCACTGGAACATTTTGTGTTATGGAAATAAAATTTGCCATTGTTTCTCTCTCTCTCTCTTTCCCTCTGAGTCTATCAGCTCTGCGTGCCCATATCTGGATGCAGTGAACATTGTTTCTTTTTACAAAGAATATTAGTCTTTATTTTTATAAATATAAAAATCGATGAAAAACAATAGTGTGAACACAAAGGGTGCAAGAAAGATTCACCCGCTCATTCAGCCGCTTCGTGAGCGCGGGAACTTATAAATTTGATAGTAGCCAATTACTGAACTATACTAATTTTGGTCTTAATGCTAGTGGCGCCATCGGTGGCAAAACGCCCAAGTTTATAGTGAAAATAGTTTCCACTGTTGCTGATAGATGGCGCCACTAACCAAAGAGAAAATAATTACTATTACAATAATTACCTATTCATAAAAATGATAAATGTGACGTAACAGTTAATATATTGAAGCGTTACAAGGTAAAGGATCGTATTAATTATGCATTTATGAGAAATAAATGATAATTGATTAAAATATATTATGTCGCCATCTTAGAGGAACGGTGGAAACTATTTTCACTACAAACTTGGACGTTTTGATACCGATGGCGCCACTGGTACTAACAACCCTTTGTCATTGAGCGTCATCTAGCGTGGAAAATATAAAACTATTCCACTACAAACTTGGGCATTTTGCCACCGATGACGCCACTGGTATTAAGACCATATTTGGAAGCTCGCTTTCCCGCCAATATTAAATATAACCTACATTTTTTTTGCATATCCTGCTGTTTTGAGGATTTGCGAATATAAAAATGGAAAAAAAACGATTACAAACATTTGCATGTATGTATGTATAAACGGTCCTGGTATTGTCGGCCTCTATTTTTTGTTATGCCTCACGAATTGTTTACTAGAACATCATGAAATTTGGTAGAATCTATTAGCATTAAATTTTTGAAAATATTCGATGAGTGGCAGGAGAGATATTTACTATAGGGGTGCTACTGATTATGTACAAAGAAAGAATAAAATAATAATAATAATAATCTGTACAGATCGTGCAAGCTTTCAGTAGAAACTACAGAGACATTTAATGCTGACTAGTACTAGACGATCCAACACATATAGCCACATATTCCGTCACCTTACACACAAATGTACTATTGTCATCAGCAGAGTTAAATGTGACACCTCCCGAGGGTGCCTACGTGACTCACAGCAACGTCACAAATCCCGACACCCTAAAATTCGTAGAATTTTTGGTAAGGTCGTTACCGTTCTCACGTATGCAATATTTCTTGTAACAGCAGGTCCTCGAAATCATATTACGTAATTCGTAGAACTCCCATGATTGATACAAGTTTCCTTTTTTTAAATGATATTCATGTAATACATGATTAAAAAATGTTCTTAAAATTCTGTTCTTTTATTTCATAAAAATACGCAATAATTGATATATTTCAACGTGTTAGGAAATGCACTTAAAATTATTTTGATATTTTCGAAATAAAATTGACTCGAAGGTGTCCAAAAGCTGGTTACGTGAATTACGTGGAAAACGTGATTCGCAGCAGGTTTTGGAATTGTTTGGAATTAGGTGAAGGCCTGAACCCACACGCGCAAAGATCAACACGAGTTCACGGGAAATATACACAAATCGGGCATCGGCTGTTAAATGATTCAATAAGCAACGCAAGAAGAAGTCTCGCGTTCTAATTTTCCCTGCAATCTGAAAACAAAAATGTTTCTCCAACATTCCTTTAATTAATTTATAATTAAATAATTTATCTACGTATCGGAAAAACATTGTTTAAATCGCAACATTTGTCATAAAGCATGTACTACATTCGTAAATGTATAAATTATATTTTATAGTTCTGAAGTGACGAAAGAATGAGTAACAGTATTCTAACTGTATCAACACTAGTTTGGATTCGTATAGGTGGCGGAGGGTATAAAAACCAGTTCGTCTTCGTAGATTTCTAAATTCGATAACCCATTGTACAGTCCCAATAAGAATACTGTGTTGACTACAACAGAAGAAAATTGTGGTTATTGCACAGTATTGAGAAATATATATTAGATGACTCTACGTTGATAAGAGTATTAGACGTTTCAAGGAAACCAGATAATAAATTATACATTGTCAGAAGAGCTATGTAATTAAAGGCTATCGACCGCAGAATATTCAGCAAAGTACCCCGCCACCGTTTCTGTATTCATAAAGTTCCAGCTATTTTTAGCACGCGTCAAAACTAACACTACGTTCCATTCTAACGATATATTGATGTTTAAATATTACGTGAAAATATAATGCACACTTAAGTTACTCATATAAAGGTATATTCTACAGGCTTCCAGTACTATATAACATATTTTTCACAATGTAGTTGGTAAAAGGCCATTAACGTTCGAAGGGAAAGTAGTAGACAACCTTGTTAATAAATTTGTTAAGGAATCGGATATGTAGGTCAGCAAATAAGAAACGAACACGAGCAAGAAGATCGTACATTAATCATAAACATTTGGGTCAATTGGCGCAATCGAAAAGGATCGTAAACGTGATCACAGTCACGTTATTGGGAAGCTTTGTTTCGTGTTCTTAAACGATACGCCTGAAACGAAATAAGACTCGGGTTTCTCTGCGTTATCTTTCGTTCGCATAGCGCTCAACAATTCATTTGCCTGAAACAAAATAAGACCGAGGTTTCTATGCGTTATCTTTCGTTCTCGCTTGGAAAAATTCAAGCACTCACGACGATTCAGATTGAAAATTTCAGTGTTGTTTTTATTGTTGAACGAAAGCCCGATGCGTTATCGTAAAATGCTTACAATTGGCAAATTTATTTTTGTAATTTATACATGGCGTATTACATGAAATCACATTCATTTCAAACTACGTTTCAGATCAAAGACAATAATGAAAAAATAACGTATAGAAATAAACTATGAATAATATGACCGCGATCATGCTTAGCTAACAACGATCTATGTGAAATACAAAAAGTAAGGTCGTGAAGGTTTTTAACTCTGATCCATTGCGTTATTGGTTTCGTTCATACTGCTGCCTGTGCAGTCCTTCTGAATTATTTCGAACAGTGGTTGCAATTCGGGTGCCGCTTTGATTTGTGTTACAAACTCGCACAACGATGGATTTTTATCTAGAAAGAATAGATTATTTCAATCCCTGGAAAATTTTCCAGGATAGAAGATCTATTATGATGAAGACTGTTTACCAGCATCTGGAATAGTTAACAATGCCGCTACTGCTCTCAATGCTGAACGTTTGAGTTCGTCTTGTTTTTCGTATTCCTGTTTCACTGAGTTTGCCTTTACTTTCATTGTACAAGTACTTTTCAACGGTTCGACTAATCGTTCCAACCCTGGGACAAATACAAATGAACAAATGTAATATTAATAAATGGGAACACCGTCTTTGCTTGCGCGTAACGCTTACTTTGTAGAACTGCTGTAGGACACAACTGAGCGAGCCTGGCAGTCATAAGGTAGGTTAACATTTTGATATCGTAATGATCTCTGAGGCCATTCTCAACGTGATTCAAAAAGTTGAAAATATCCAATCGATCCAGACAGGAATCGAGCAACGTATACATGCATTCGAATGCTGCTTTTCTGAGATCTAATCCATCGTCCACTGTATGTTTGAAGGGGCCCATTTCAACCTCTCTTATCAGTTCTTTCTATGATTAATCAATTCAAAATCCCATCAATTATTTTTGTTCGAGGTATTAAATATTTGTTCATTAATCAAGTACCTTTATCTTAGTTTCGGTATAAAGGTGTGGTAACACAGAATCTAGCAAATCTCTTATAAGCATTGGTTTATTGTGAGCTGCTGAATTAAATGCAACTAAAGCTACCCTCCTCACGTTCAGGTCAGGGTCTTCCAACGCGACTAAGAAATTGCCCATACATTGTTTTAACATGATATCGATTTGTTGAGGCTGCAGAACATGTTTTAAATTACTTATGTATAGATACAACAATCGACAAATTTTTACATAGCGTTATATCTTTATACATACCTGATCTGAAATAGTGAACTTAACAGCGGTAACTGTGGTGGTTCTCATAAATGCAGATGGTGATTTTAACGATTCCTGTAATCTTGGTAACAAAGTGGCAGGATCGATCAAAGTGAGCTTTCCCAGACATTCCGCGACGACATTGCGCGTGCCTTCTTCCGTGCATTCGCAATGTCTGTATAAAAGCATCCAAATCGAAGGCACGAAATTTTGTAAGTGGGATACACCTGACGGACTAGCTGACTGACACGTAATAATCTGCAAAGTATTATATTATAGATAAATTGTTATTGAATTAACAAACACGAAACAGATAACATTTTAATATCAGACTACCTCTTTTAACGAATGTAAAAGGAGATATTGTCGTTTTGGTTGTGCCTCAATTTCTTTTAATATAAACGGCAAATATTCTGGGAGATTGCCAACAGCTATGTTTCCCAGTGTGTAACTAGCCGCCGATTTTACTTCTTCCGAATGGGATGAAAATGAATTTAAAATAATATGCTTTAGAGAAGTAATTCCGCTCAAGTCCCTGAATTAGAAAGAAGAAAGTTGATCATCAATGATGACCTGCAGAGAAATGCATTGAAAAGTCACATAGAAATGAGTTTTACTCACACGTGTCTACCTATTTCACCGATAACCAGTAATGCAAAAATATGCTGCGCGTCGCTTTGTGGACTCTGAACGTCTTTTAAAAATTGTTCTACTACCGCCTGTGCTTCTCGATGCCATGTGATAGTTAACGCAGCTGCACACTTGGCGAGCGAATGATAAGCTTGCTTATGAAGAACAGATTGACTACTAACAGGCGCTATCAACATCGAAAGCAATTCTCTGTAACCAAGACCCGGTATGTCTGCCTGAACTAAAGCTTGGAAAAATTCCAGCATCGAATTCAAGGCTACGCCTGAAATATGGAGGCAAAATGAAATTAATTGTTGAGTGGTATGTGATTATAATAGCAACATTGGTTCGTTTGTTACCTTGGAGAAGTGGAGATTTTACAAGAACTAATATCTCCGGTAATATATTATCGGTCACCCTTGTTAAAGCGATAGGATGCAGTTTCGCGATAGTCGTGAGAAGATTAAGAGTTAACTGCGCAATATGTAGATCAGTCTCATTTAATAGCGCTGGTAATTCTGTAGTAACCTGGCAAAATATTAGTTGGTTTCAATTCCATTCGTTATAAAATGAATTTTGTAAATATCTTCTATTACCTTATCTAATAAATCTACATGGAGAGCAGAACTATAATTTTGAACCAAAGTGTACAAAAGTGGAAGGGAACATAACTTCAAAGCTCTCTGATTTTTTCTGAGGAAAGACCCAAGAATTGGAATCGCATCTTCCTGTAAAATACGCAATAATGATAATTTACAGAGAAATAAGATGCTTCAAAAAATATTAATTTCTATATAGTAATGCATGTACCATAATTGGCTTTAGATCCACTCTTAAAGGAGATGATGCTATACAGGTTAAAGCTTTAACTGTCGTGAGTCTCGTAATTTCATTACGGAGTCTGTCCAGAAATATGGGAAGGCATACGTGCAATTCATCGCACAAAGTATCCCCAAAATGCGCGAGGATTTGACCCATGCAAGCGATGGCTCTTTCTTTCACTTCTTGATCGATGTCTGCTGTTCTCAGTCTCATTAAGGTGCAACGATATATTTCGCCAGATAATGATGTAAAGTCGAAATAGCATGGTTTGTCTGAAGTAGTATTCGTTATCTTAATTAAATTCGTAGCTAACATGGTTCAAAATATTTTAAGCATATTCAATAAGCGATATCTACAATTATTATTATTTCTCAACTTACCATGTGGTCTAATTACTTGGACAAGCTGTTGCAATACCAGCAATGCTTCCGCGGTGATCTTATAAAATGGATCACCGACAGCAGCTATGATTGGTGGTGCTAGAACTGCCATATGAGCGTGAAACACTTCAGGTTGATGAGTTACCAATAATGTATGTACGAAAGCCAATGTATCAATTTTCATATTTGATGAAGAATTTTTGTCTCCCAAAGAATACTGTATACCAGATATCAACGCGGGTATGTGATTGTTTAAAGCACCAGGCAATACAAGTACCAGTTCCTTTAATAACGAAAAGCAGTCTTGTCGCGTCTTGATGCTCTTCTCTTTCATTTGACGATGAACTGCTTTTACTATCAGCGGAACTTGTTGTTGTAGCAATGATATTGGACCGTCATCGTCTTCCATTGCATCAGGATCGAGAGGCATGCCTGTAGCTGGTCTCGTCTGTCTTAGAAGTGCAATATACGCATGGAAAATATCCGATTTTACGTTTTCCTCTCTTTCTGTAAAAGTTCATTCTTTTTATACTTCTATTGCTGAATAAAATTTGAAACAACGTTAACGAGTATGCTTAGATTGTCCTCTAGAGGCTTGGAATTAAAATACCTTTAAATCTTGAAATCAGTGCTGGAGAAATAACTTTGTAAAGATCAGGGAGAAGTTCTCGTCTGCTAGATACAACAGCTTCGATACACTTTGCAGCTGCTCTACGAACTTTCCAACTCATATCATCATCATCCGAATACTCGTCTTCGGCATCTTCCTCTCCGTCTTCCTCTACTTCCATTACGACGCCTTCCCCATCGGACGAATCGTTCATGTCGTCATCGTAATTGTAGTTTGGGTCGTATGTGATATAAACCAAACAAATTTCTATAATCTAAAAACATATTACTTTATAAGATTACAAGTAATTTTTAGAAGTCTAGGATTCCACGTAAGCGGGGTTGGTTACTTTATTTATGTGTGGAGTGATTTCTTTGGGGCATCTGTACACAAAAGACTCGAATGCTTGTAAACAGTATTCTCTTAGTTCGTCGTCATCCTCGTTGCTATACTGTACAATTAGCGGCATGACCCTCTCGATTTGTTCTCCGAATCTGTGCCCTGCTTGACGACTGTAAATATTTAAAAAAAATGCAAACAAATATGTAAGAGTCGTAAATTGGGTAATACTGTAATTAGAAGACAAAACAACAAAACAAAACTTACCAAATAGAAGCGATGCACTGTATATAAGTGCGTATCACATTTTTTGCAGTTTGCGTGGTAAGACCTTCAAGTAAATGATCTAGAAGTTTATTGTACAAGTAATTGTTACTTGAAGTCAGAAGGTGACTCAGAGCCACTATAGTACGCTTTCGAACTGCTTGACGTGGAGACGAAAGTTGTGGTAATAGCGCAGCCAAAATGATGGAGTGAAAGGCGACTAGTAAAGCACCAAATCGAGACAATAAGTCAGCTACAATGTCGAGAGCTTCGAGTTGCACGGACACATCTTCCTGCTATATATAAAACAATTAATTCTTTTGTTCTGAATGTATAACATAAACTTTTACTAAAATTCTAAAATATATATAAATATGAATACTTAATTATGATAATTACTTTTTCAATAGCGCTACTGAGTCGACCAGTTATTCGTTTACAAACATTCGCGACAAGGGCACTGGATCCCAAAGGAAGTTCAGAGATTACAGTTTTCAAACCGATACTGGAAATATCTCTCAACTGTTCCTTGTCTGATACCATGTTACTGCACAGCGCATCTACGATAGTTTCCACTTGGTACTCCTTTACCTTATTGACTAAGGGCCCCAAACTGAAATCGGACACGTTTCTGTAATCGTGTCCAAATACAGAGAAAATCTTGCAGTTGCAAGACAGAACTTAACTAATATTTTTAAGTAATATACAAGATTATTATGAAATTAATAATAGAGATTACTTTAGATTTCAGGTTTAAGTTACACATAACTTTACCATTTTACAGCAAGATTTTGTACTTCTCCATTTTTGTCTTCCAATAGTTTTAAAAGCATCTTTACAACTTTACGCTCAGAATCGTCATCCAGTTTGATGCTATCCTTTTGTAACTCACTCATTAGATCATTGGTTGCCATAAATCTAAAATCTTTGTCGCTGGAGGTCATCTAGGAGAATGAATTTTATTAAAATATGTGTATATGGGTTTAAAATAAAATGTAAGATATAAAAGAAGTGTGGTTACTATGGCAACAAAGAAATTAAATATGATTGTGATAACTTTCGTGATATTTACATGGATAATTTAAATGTATCACCATGATTTGTATAAGAAGGCAATACAGATACTCGTATAAACAATCATAAGGGAAATATATTTAAATATTTTGAATATATCAATAACAAAAATTGAATAATCATAGTAGTCCATAAAAGTAATGATTATGTACAACGGAGAATACACATAAAACATGTTTTGGAGTATTTATGACAAACACAATGTTAAAAAAACTGGTAATTTTCAAACCCATCTTTTATTATTTTATTAATAGTGAAAGAATTATAGAAATAAAACGAGGTTATGTAGAACCTTAACATTATCACCGGACAAGCGCAAACACTCCTACAAAATATCATCTTAAAACAATCAGAGGAAAAAATTTATTCCATCGATGGAAGGTAGAAGTATTTGTTTGTAAAAATGCATTGAATACCTTCTCCAGCAAGTTTGCGATTTGATAAGAGACACTAGCCATGATTGAAAACTTTTTCACAGCCGGTTACAGTTGTCGTTCCAATATTCTACGTTATAATTAAACGGAAAGAAACGAAAAATTACGAAGTTTCCTAGAAACAGACAACACTAAATGCGATTACGTGTATGCGTTTAAAGTTCTCGCTAGAAACTGTTTTTTTAATGAAATTTCGCCGTCGGCAGCATTTCAATACTGCGAATCTTTACCGCAAACTTCGACTGCCAAAATTTTGATGGTAATTGTGCGTTCCTAAATCCACCAAAACAACAACGACAGATGGGAAACATTGAAACGCTGCCTTGCACTTGATGTAATCGAATGTAATGCACGCCACTTTTCAAATTTGTAATCAAAGCTATGGTTTAGAAAAGAAAAATTCAGAAATAAAAATGTTAGTTAGAAATACTTAGCAATATAATAATGAAATATATATTCACATATCTACACATTTAGCAGAAACATATAATTGAAAAGAAATAGGAATTAAAGATAGTTACAATCAAAATCAATACAGATTATTTAACAGATAATACAAATCATACATCAATAAAGATTGATCAGAGATAAGTAAAAAGTAAAAATTATCAATGTAGATATATTTTTATTCTAATTCATATAAACTTTACTTAACATGTTACTTACAATAGTTAAATTCTAGAAACAATATTTGTAACATTGAGCACATTAATATCATATAAAAAAAATAACGTGTTAATTTTAATTCACATGTGTAACATTTTCATTACTTTGAAGTTTACTTAGCTTCTTACTTCTTATCCTTAACGTACTTAAAATTTGTAGTTCTTTGACAATTAAATAATTAAATATAAATTAATTGTGCTTATCCTATTCATAAAAAAATAAATAATTATTGTACTAAAAGGTAACAGAAGTATCATAATGGAAGACATTGTTGCTGCAGATCTTCAGTCTGATTCATTTCCTGCTTCTTCGTTGGCATTCTGATCCTCCCTTTCCTGTTATTAATCATTTTATTCTTGAACAAATATTGCTGTTTAAATCAATGTATTAGTAACACTTATAGAACATACCTGTGCTTCTGAGCTACCTGTATCTTGTTTCTCAGAATTTTGATTAAGGAACCATGTGATAGGTTTCTGCCATTCAGGTGTCTCCCTTGGATGATATGGATTACCACCTCCTTTTGAGTTTCGTTCCAATAACATACGAACGTTTATTATTTGTACTTTTCAAGGAAAAAAGAAAATATAAAATTTACCTTTGCTTCCTAATCCTCCTTTTTTTTGAGAGGTGCTTGCTATTTTTCTTGGTGCCTTAGCGCCAACGGCTACGAATAACGGAAAAAACGATTTATAAACAAATTTGTAAACAAATCACGATTTTATATTTTGATAATTAAGATTATGGAAAACAGTTGCAGAATTGAGTAACGAAGAATAAGATCGATGGCTGGATCGAATAGGGGGCGAACAAAGACAAAGGAATCATTTTCAAACACTGGAAAATAAAATAGTTTTCAAGTATTTTTTTCACCTTTTGAAGGTACACGATCTCCCTTTGTTCTCACCATGTTGGTAAATTAAGGAATTCAAAATCCAGAGATTCTAAAAGACAATGAAAACAATTGAACGTTCTAAAGTTTCGTTACACCTTACTTTGTTTAAATCACCTGCATATTCGCATTGCCAATTGTATCAGACGAAGGAAACCAAACAGGTGGGCCAACCTAAAAGTCGTCATGGTATAAAAATGTAGATTCAAATAATGCAATTCCACTTTAGCATTACTAACGCTTCAAAAAAGCTTAAAATTGATTAATTATATGTATTTTAACAGAATTCAATATTACTCGAACCCTATAAATTTGCTGAAAGATAACAGACGTAATTAATGTAACAATGGGATATTTTTTTTATTGAAAAAGAGTATTATCATTCCTGACCATAACAATTTAAGCAAAAATACTTTCGAATAGTTTCACACACAGAGGAACATCGAAAGTTTTATTCCATATACCTTTGCACTGTACTTAAAATAACATTACATTCAATATTTATCGTTACTCGTATTTTTTAACAAATCGCCTTCGATAATATATATATCTAATGTGACATATGTAATATAAATGCGATCGTTTAACGCGTCGTGATTACTTTGTATTGAATCCAAGTTACGTTGTAATACTGATACGGCGTAATCTTCTTATTTCGCAATGATATTGTATGTTCAGGGAAAAGTAAAACGGATGTTATTTTCGATTAATTAAAAAGATAAGAACAAACTAAAATTACGTAAAATAATTTATATATGTATACATGTAACTACATATGTCTATGTTACATTTACAGGCCATTTCTTTATGACACGTACCTCAAATAGGTATTAACAGTTTCTTTTGTAAATGATAATTTTACAAAAGATTCCGCCTCGGACAGTAATCATGTACTCTGTTAGATGTAAGCTTCGAAAGAATGTTGTATACACTTTCGTGCAAAAAATATAGCTATGTCGATAAATATGTATTATATAACTTAATTTTAATACTGAATCACAGAAACCCGTCGATGGGTAAGCAATAAATTATATCCTTAAGAATGCTTTGCATGCTTCTTGGGAGAGAATTTGTGCTTACATTAAAAAGGAAGCAACATCAAATTCGAATCAATCGCCTGAATCATTTTTCTAATATTTAAAATGTACAAGACTGGAAACAAAGTGTGTCCTTTTTGAAAAATATAAATTTGTCCAGTAAAATCGACGATTTTTTTTTTCTTTCTACTCAATCTGACACGGCAATGTTTGAAACACTGAGATGTAACTCTAAGAGAGATAAGCGCAGAATGACACTTGAAGTTATTAGTGTAGTTATTACTTTCAAATGTTGTTTCAACTGTTTAACAATGCGTGAATACATTCTCCTTAGTTTCCTGATAATGTGTAAATTACAATTTTTGCTAAATCTATGAAATTGAAGGTATCTCGAAGTTAACACTGAGATTTTCGGATTGTGCTAACTTAACAATTGTTGACAATTTAACCGCAACACGGGCAGCTTCGTCTAGATCGTCGATCGGTACGATTTTTAAACCTGCGTTCGCGATTAGAGCTTTCGCTTCGTCTACGTTCGTACCCTGTAATAATAAAATCATTAAACGTCATACTCTTTTATAATTATTCATTCTTAAAATTATTCATTTTTACTACTGTACCTGCAATCGAACAACGACAGGAATTTTTAAGTCGAGTTCTTTAGTTGCTGCTATAATTCCTTCTGCAATAACATCGCATCTCATGATTCCACCAAATATGTTAACCAAAAGAGCATGCACCTATGTTGGATGGAAGCAAAATACATTTTTAAAATTGATTTAAATAAAATGAAATCTTTCTAAGCTTGTTGCATATCGATTACGTACTCTTGGGTCAGATGTAATTATTTTAAATGCTTCCTTTACAGCAGAAGTGGATGCACCACCGCCAACATCTAAGAAATTGGCTGGTTCTCCTCCATGTAATTTTATGATATCCATAGTGGCCATGGCTAAGCCAGCACCATTCACCATGCAGCCAATATTACCGTCGAGAGCAATGTAATTCAAGTCAAATTTAGCAGCTTCGACCTCTTTAGGATCTTCCTGAGTCCAATCTCTCAAAGAGAATAATGGTTTTTGCCTGAACTCGGCATTATCATCGAATCTGCACTTGCAATCCAATGCGAAATCTAAATATCGTTAAAATAAAAGTATTAATTCTAATGAAATTTTTTATAAGATATAGGAAATTACATTATATTTGTGATCAGACTCACAGTTTCCATTAATATCTTCCGCGAGAGGATTCACTTCTAATAAAAGGGCATCTTTTTTTAAGAACAATTGGTATAGATTTACAATTATATTGGAAATGTAATCTTTCACATTTTGTAGACCAAGTTTCACAGCAATACGTTCCGCTTGTTCTTTCGTAATTCCCTTGTTAATATCAACAGGCTCGTACATAATAGCGCTAGGATTAGTTGCAGCGACTTCTTCGATATTTACACCACCTTGACTTGAAGCTATTATAACTGGACCCTTAAATTAAATATTTGAAAGTTAAAAATTTCGATTATATTTATATTAGTTGTAAATAAAATTAACATTTCGCAGATATTTCGATAAGAAAATATTCGCTGAACTTTGTATAACAATCATATTGATACAGAGGAAGTACAAGAAAATAAAGAAAAAACAGAAGGAACGAGGGAGAAAAAAACATGTGATAGTTCAATTAAAATTAATACATACAATTTATCTAATCACTAAATGGAATGTGACAATGGTAGGGGACAAAGTCAAATTGAGTAATTTGCATGTTGCAATGACGTTGTTGTTTTGGAACCACGTGGCAGTTCTCATAAATAATAAGTTTGTTCTAATTGAAAAGAAAGTTGAAAGAAATTTTTGAAAACATTCTAAATTCCAAATATTTTTCGTATGCATTCAATTACACGATTATTATTATACAGATTTTTACGAATATATTCATATCTTTAGTTACTTGTAACACTTTAAAATTATATTAATTTAGTAACATACACCAAAGGCTCTTTCCATCATGACAGCAAGGTAGTATTCTTTTCGAGGGAACATGCGCTGTGTTACCATTACTGCATTGCATATCCTACCTGCTTCACCAGTTTGTTTAGTAATTAACAATTTACCTAACATTTGACTTGCTAATTTTTTCGCTTCATCTGGGCTGCAAGGGGAACACAAATATAATATGGTATAGTACACATTTCAGTACAATTTACGTGCGTGTTGGCTCCCAGAAAAAAAGGATTATGGGTCAATAAATGATTATAAATAAATAAGTGAATCCGAACAGAAGCCCTCTTTCTTGGGAGTATAGTCAGATATTATAGTAACTTACGTTTCACACATTTTGACACCACTGACATTGGTACCCTTAAAATGACCCTTTCCTCTGCCACCAGCCAACACTTGTGCCTTCAAGACAATGTCTTTAGTTTTCAAATCGGCAGCAAGCTTTGCAGCTTCATCTGGAGTTTTGGCAACTCCAAATTTAGGAGTCGGTACTCCAGCTTCATTTAATAGACTGTAACTGATGTGTTCGTGTACATTTAAATTTCGAACTGGTTGCTTTACTAAATTGGTTTTGCATCCTAATATCTGTAAAAAAAACGATATAGTTACCAAAAGTGTTGTTAAGAGAAAATAACATTTAAATACACTAATCTATGTACATAAAATATGATAATAATAGAAAAGAGCTATTTTTTATTGGTTGCAGAATATTATAGAAATATTGTTATTATTGCAATTATTGTATACACATTTCATTAGAAGTTGATTAAAGAGTAAATGTCATAACATACACAGTGATATTAAAGCAAAGTGATCTAACACATTATTATTGACAGTTTGTGCGCTTCAAGGCCTTGGCCTGCAAGATTTAAAAATAAACTGAACTCGAAGACCAATCAATGGTAATGACCCACATACTTTTAATTCTATGCTTGTCACCCTTGACTTGTTTTGTCTTTGATAATTATCTTCTTTAGTCGATGAAAACAAATGACCACAAATAAAGTATAAAACGAAATAATTTTAAAAAATAAAGAAAACTTAAAAAGAAAAAAGAAATATCTTCAATAATAAATATTGACAAACAAGATTGAGAGACAAAGGACAAAGGAAACAATCGTTAACGAAGCATTCGATTATTCAAATTTTGTATTCTCGCAAAAGTATGACAGTTCAAAATTGTTTGACAAGTGGTCTTCATTCTTTGGCGTAATTTAATAACTCTTAATTAAATACGCACGGACGTTTCAGAGTCATCGACCTAAGATTGGAAGGACGAGCACGGAACGTCCACTTTCGTATTGCGTAACTGTCATGCTTGTATTTCGTGTAAAAAGATAGTTTTGCGGCAAGGCCAATATCTTTGGCTTCGAATCGACTGACCCTGGCGCCGAATTTAGCAGACTACGGATCTAATATGGTGGTCTCCTTATGAATCATTGGCGCAAGTATCATTCGATTTCGGGATACGGAAACAGAGGAAACACATTTTTCATGCGATTATTAGAGAACCGACGTAAACATTACCATACGAAGAACGACTTGTTTCACGTACCTTCGACCCATTGAATCGGGTGAGATTTTCAACGAGTGAGATGGTCCGCGACAACATGGTAGCCATCTTAGTAAAGCAGTGGCAGTGGACTGCCAAGTGTAAGCTGCGCCTTCATGTCCCCACCTTTCTTCTTGACGTTTCCTGTAAAAACATGACGCAAACTCGCGCGCAACCAGCCGCGATAGCAGCACCACGTTAATGCAAAGACGACGCATCACTTGAAATTAATTTCAAACGATCAGCGCTAAAATGAATAAAAGACAAAGATAATATTCGAACTGTAACAATTGAACAGCGAAGATCTTACTTGAATCTTTAGGGGGTTCATTTGTTAATGTAATATTAGTTTTTGCTATTTGAATAATAAAGCAACCAGATACATATTTTATAAATCATTAGTATGAATTTTAAATTCTTAAAGCACTTTACAAACTGAAAAATAAATAAGGAAAATGTAAGAAATAATAACAAGTAATTATCGCGTCTATATTGAAAGAAGTTTAACGGGATTAATTTCATTCGCTTAGATTTTAAAGTAGACTATGAACTACACAATTTCAATGGAAAATATTTATTTTATACAAATATATAACTTTCTGTATAAAGTAAAATTTTGCGAAGACGATATTAAGTATTTGTTGTATATTTTCTAGTGTCAATAGTTTCGATTCGAAAACTCTTCACCGTACATGCAAGTAAAAAAGAAGCGATTATGAGGTCAAAAATGATAAACATACGCTCTGAATATTTCCCACAAAGAGATTTACCTTACTTCGAACTGTTACATTTTTTATCAGATTTCTCTTTGCTTGTGAAAGAAATGTCTAGATTCAAGGAATTTGCTAAGTTCACTACTGTCACCAACTTTACAGCCGCTTCAGCCGCTTGGGTAAAATCGTCCACGGAAATGACTTTTAATTTCGCGTCGCGTATCAGTACTTTTCCTTCTTCCATGTTAGTTCCCTAGGCAGGTTGTAAAAGAAGGAAAATAAAACTTATCGTTATTCTCACAGGACCTTGATAAATCATTATTAAATTACCTGCAGCCTTACGACTATCGGAATCTCCAATTTCAGATCCTTAGTCGCAGAGATTATTCCTTGCGCAATTATGTCGCATCTCATGATACCACCAAAAATATTAACGAAGATAGTTTCGACCTGAAAAAATTCGCAATACAAATTTTATAGATACAGCGCAGAATATATGTAACAAACTTAATGTTTGTTAATATAATAATGTTTACTATCTATATGTTTTAAACACCTTTGGATCAGAGACTATTATTTGGAACGCCTCCTTGACGGTTTCCGCAGTGGCACTGCCACCCACATCTAAAAAGTTGGCTGGCATACCATCATAGTAATGTATGATATCCATTGTAGCCATTGCTAATCCTGCTCCATTCACCATGCAGCCTATATTCCCATCTAGACCTATGTAGTTCAACTGAAATTTAGCTGCTTTAACTTCCTTTGGATCTAATTGCGTCCAGTCCTGAAGAGCAAATAATTCTTTCTGTCTGAATTCTGCACTGTCGTCGAAAGAACACTTACAATCCAAGGCATGATCTGGAAGTCGTATAAATTTGATTAAACATCTGTTTCTTCGTTACAGTAAAATTAATCTAACAAGTTTCCTTTGCAAACCATACATTCTCCGCAAAGGTCTAATGCAAATGGATTTATCTCAAGCAACAAGGCGTCTTTTTCGATAAATAATTCATAAAGATTGCAAGCGATCGTGGAAACAATGTCTTTGTCCTCTCCTTTTACACCTAACTTGTCTGCAATGAGATCTGCCTGTTCGGTTGTTAGACCCTTCATGATATCAATTGGTATATACGTTATAGCTTCAGGATTCGAGGCGGCAATGTCCTCAATATTTACGCCGCCTTGTTTTGACACAATTATCACGGGACCCTGAGAAAAAAATATTTTCTTTTTAATATCAAACATAATGAAAAATTTAATATATACAGTTACTTGATAAGTTTAACTCACGTTAAAACTGATCTCCAACATGACTGCAAGATAGTATTCCTTGCGAGGGAACATCCGCGTCGTTACCATTACTGAATTACAAATTAATCCAGCGGCTCCAGTTTGTTTTGTTATTAATAATTTTCCTATCATATCATTGGCGAAAGTCTTTGCTTGTTCAGGGCTGCAAATTATGTTGAAAGACACATTAAGATACGGATATTTGAAATAAAAGAAAAGCAATAGAAACTATTAGGAACTAATTCAAGTTTAAATTCATGACACTCACGTTTCGCACATAATAACACCTCTGACGTTGGTGCCTTTAAAGTGTCCTACTCCACGGCCTCCGGTAAGAACTTGCGATTTTAAAACGATATCTTTCGTATCCAGATCCTTGGCTATTTTAGCAGCCTCGTCTGGTGTTTTAGCTACTCCATATGGCGGAGTTGGAATTCCAGCTGATTTTAATAAAGTGTATGCGACATGTTCGTGAACTTGCATGCGCCGAGTTTGTTGGGTAAAAAGGGATGTACGAAATAATAACTGAAACATATTTTCCCAACCATCAATATTTAAAATAGCAAGGCCTTAACTTATTAATAAATTGGATAATCATTTTAGTATTCCAAATATGTAAATGTCTACCTGTCCTTTTATTGCCTGGGTGCAACATAATATCAGTGATGACATTCTCTTTGACATGTCGATACTTAATTTAAACAATTTCATTTACACAATAGTAGACTCGATTCATTAGCGTTGAAAATTGCTCAACTTTACGAAAATGTAGAAAGCGACGCTTCGTTATTTATGAATTGTACAAAGAATTCTGCTCCTACATTATACAAAATCCTTAACGCAAATTTTAAAAGATGCTTCATTATGTACAATGCATTGTGAAATCAATTAAGTAGGCAATGAGCGTTGAATATATGCCTCTTTGTTTTACTACAATGATAAATGGTCATATTTATGAGTGAATGCTACCACAGATGAGCAAAATTTGGTTTGAATAGACAATGAATTAAAACACCATATATTGGATAATTGTTTAGATAAACTTTTATTCGAGAAACAAGGAATATAAATTCATCGTATAATTCGAGTTATAGTTTTTATTCAACAAATAACGGATCGAAAGTTATTTATCTTTTATACGAACTTTATATCTAGATAAGAATATTGCCCATCTCTGGTTGATATCACTTTGTACAGATAATATCAAGTTTCACATAAACGTTTCCATTCAAAAGTACTTGAATTACGAAGAATGCTCTACATATTTCGTACGAGTCGCGAGTTTAGTAAAAGTTGCTTTCACATTTTAATTTCAGAAAATGCTTCTAAGTTCAATACTGAAAAATAATTAACTTTATAAACAAAGAATAAACTCCATTCGTGAAATTAACTTTTGTATTATTGTAATAAACGTGTGATTTTTCTATTCTCTTTATATGCGTAGAAGATACATGTATTAAATTACGTTAATATAGTAAAATATAAAAAGTCAATTTACATTGTACATCTATGTATAATCCGATTACAATGATTTCCTTACAAGCGCTTACAACTATCAAATAATTGCAATAGAATTGAAATTGCTACATTACACATTTATAATTCATTGGTATATCACGATTAGATATAACTCAATACGCTCTTAATGAGTCATGTTTGCGTTAATACCACTTGGTATGATAACAGATATTTCTTTTACGAAGACAAACGTATGCTTATCTTAGGAACTATGTCCTTAACAAGATTTCTAAAATTTTGATAATTCGTAGGCAGTTACAGCATTCTGTTTCTGTTATCGTTACATTTTACGCTGTGGATGTACGTTTGACTTCATCGATCAAAAGAATATTATCGAGGCTATACATTTCTACAACCTTTTAGATGTAATTACAGAAATTATAAACGATAAACTAACTTAACTTTCCCAAAAATTAAATAATGTTACTGTATACTTCAATAGAAAGATTAATATTTAAGAAAAATAAGATCTGAAGCAGTGTCTTGCTATAAAACATAGACATTTCATCTTTGCGTACTTTCTCTTCACAAGTAGTAGAAAAAAAGATAAAAAGAATAATAAAAGAAAAAGTAATTTATAACATGTACAATTTTTCAAGTAAAATGTTATGATGTCAGAAATAAAAGATAACGCAAGTATTAAATTCAAAATTCGATGCATTTAATACTTCGAAATATATTCAAAACACAAGTTACCTACGCTCTGTAACTTAAAAATAATTTTCATACTGCTTAAAATATGAAACGAAAAAAATCGAGAAGGTTCGAAAAACGACTTTTCATCCTCGCGTGACACAACTTAAACATTCATATAATTTGTGAAACAGAACTGCTTCTTGCATCTATGTTTCAAGCATAAAACTTCATTTCTGGCCTTAACAGTCTTATATTCTAAATACAAAACAAATCATGTTTAATTTCAAAAACTAAATCTATCGTTCAGCGTTCTTCCTGTGACGCCAAGGTTTCCAGATAAGCTGTACATGACTTCGCTGAAAGTACGATCGTCGACATCGGCTCCTGCATCTAACGAAGGGGTGTTACGTGTGCGAGAACGAGAGCGTGATCTTGACCTTGAACGTTGTCGACCAAATAGAGGAGCTCGACCAACCTGAAACACATTCATTTTAACGATCAAATATACAAGAATAAACATATAGTTTATATGCTATATATTTCTCTAAAATTTCTTCTAAAGATTAGTACATAAAAATCAGTTTTTATTTTCACATAAATTAATAGTTTCAAAATATCATACCATATTCAAACTTTGTATATTTTGTCTAAACGGTGAACGTCCCCTCGGAAGCTGGCGCAAACTGTTCACAGCATTTCCATTTCGACTTGGTGCAAGAGCAAGAGATCGTTGATGCGTGCTGGGAGTATTGCCCAATGTACACATGAAGTTCACATTTGAATTAGCATTTATTCGTGGAGAACTACAACATTGTACATATCAATTAGTAAAGGTGAAATTTGTTGTTCAGTTATCGAGTAATATTGATCAATGAAGTTGTACAGATAGAGTACTTAAACATTTTCAAATGAAAATAAGTATAGTTTAGTTACTCGTAACACATTTGCTGCTGCTGAAATTATTCCTCTAGGATAGATACAATTCTTGTTTAGCATGAATAATTAATTTGTTTTAGTGTCACTGATTACTGTTTTGCTTGTCATCCTTGGTTTTCTCATACGAACATACCAATTACGTCAGCAATATTATTGAAACAACTGTTTCAACGCAATGTGTGTGTCAACAGCCGTAAATGTGTTAATGAATTACATCAGAAACAATAAAAGTGGAAAATGAAACATTATTCACGATTACTGTAATACTAAATATCAAATTGTTTATGAACTGTTTTATAAGTTAATTGTAACGGTAAATTATAATTTTAATCATACTTCATTCTCATTAATTTTTGTTCGTATTGTACACGCCTTTGTGCACGGGCAATTTGATCGGAACGCAATCCACCGGTAGTGAAGCGACGTTGAGACGTTAAAATTTGTTGTCTTCTATCCATTGCACTTCTTTGTTGAAGCGATAACAAGGATTTTCCAGCTGGTGGTACCTTCAACAAAAGATTTACTTCAGTTTTCGTTCAATTGACTCTACAACTTTCTTGTTTAAACAATCAGAAACTTACTCTGAATTGGTTTTGTAGAGATAATCTCTGATTCTGTCTTTGCAGCAACAATTGCTTTGCTCTTTTAACGCGATTTCGATAAGCAATTTGAGCAGGACTTTGATATCCTAGTCGGTTATGAACCGAGGTTGGGTCACGCAGATTTGGTAGACTATTCGTTCTCTTCAATGTACTTTTATTGTTTGTAAAGAATCCTCCTTGAGTAAAAGTCAAATTTGTGCGACTTCTACTGCGAGTCAAACCAAATCTATTGCCTCGACCACGACGAGTATTAAATGCTCCTCGCGTGTTCGATTTTTGGTTCAATGCCAAATTGCTTCGTGATCTAGCAAGACCATTGTTTTTCTTATATCGTTTCCTTACAAAACCACCACGAACGTTATTATTATTATTATTTTGTCGAGCTGGCCATGTTTGCTCTTTCTTAGCAGTTCCAACATTTCGTTTAACTCTTGCACCTCTACCCCTAAGTCCGCTCCGTCCTCGAGCACTGCCTCGAGTGCGTTTAGCGCCAGCTTTTCCATTGGCAGTCCCAGCCTTTTTCTTTTTCTCCTTTTTCTCCATCTTTATGATTTCATCTTAAAAGGAAGAAAATTCACAATGTTTAGTGAGCATATGGTCTTAGCGCAAGAAGTTAATTTTGTGTCAAGCTTTAATCTGGAATGTATGTAAAATTCCCTCCTGATGCCGAAGAATAATTCAAGATGGCAAACTTGGTAATTATTTCCATTAAGGAAATTTTTTTTGTAATATCTATTTTCATTAACCATTTCCATAATTTTCTTCCAATATTTATATTTAAAATAATCTCACTGGTTATGGTTTTTGTTATACATATTTATCAACACAAAAAAATGTAATATATCAAAATTTCAACTTGGTCATTCTTTATTATATTTTCTCAACCACTTAAGAATGATTCTAGATATGCTACTTTTAATCTTTTACTCTTGATATCAAAAATAAATAACAACAGTAACAATAAGAATCAAATATACTACTCTAATTAAATAATAAATAAATGATAAATAATTAACGTTTTAAAATACTATTATTTCATGTAAGCTGAATATATATATGCATGTATAAGTCTATTTAAACAACAGTTTCATGTATTTCTCTACAATCTGTTGTAGAATGTACAAGAAATGTTGAAATTTCTTTTAATTCATACTGTAGACGAATTTACACTAAAAAATTAATTCTCATGTATGATTATCTTCTGTTATGTGAAAAACGTTTATAGTTTATGTATGTCAATTAGTAATAATAGATCTTCATTCACATTATACATTTTCTTGTTCTTCTTTATTCAACTTTATGAACTTTTGTATTTCACAAATTTCCTTTTGGAGAATTTTATTTTAGTTCATGTTTAATTTGTCTTTATTCTTCCAGTAGTCTACAGATATGTTGAACACTTCGTACACACATTGTTTTCTTGGATAATCAGTTCTTCATACACTTGTAGAATTGCTTGCGAAATATCCAATATTGTGATGCCCAAACATTTCCAAGTATATGTTCAGTTAAATTTTTCTTTCATTTATATTTTGTCCAATTTGTTACTAGGCTTCATTTTCTGTATTCTATTTATACTCTTGGCATTTTGTTCCTCTTTTCCAGGATAATTATATAGATGTTTATGTGATACACTATCAGTTTACCAATGTATCATGAAAATATTATTACTATGTAGTTATGTAATTACAACTACAATAATATTCATTAATTTTCTATTAAACCATAGATGTCTTAGAATGTAGTTGTACAGTCTTTTCCTATTCCTGAATTTCAATCCACAAAACTCTTCAAAAGTTTCAATGATCATATATCTTCTCCATAATTGTGTTGCCCATAGGCAAAAATTTGCAGATTTCTTGATCGGTCAAACAAGTGGTTTATAAATCTTGATCCAAGTTATGCAAACCAATTTGTGTTGAACTTTTACAAAGTAATATTATTTGTTCACAGGCAAGTCTTAATTACAATTTTATGCTAGCTTATCACTCTAGCATATAAACTCAATCAAGCATCTAATAGTTTTGTTTTCCTGATACATGTTAGATATCTCTCTGTCTTTTTCTATTTCAAAATTTTGATCCATGTAGCTCCTTGTGTACGTAAAGAGTCGTATTATTATTTCTTCCATAGTTGTGTTGCTCAAACATGCAGCTTACAAATCTTGATCCAGGTTATAAAAACTCAATAATGATTCACGTTTAACTAAGGTACATTATTTGTTCACAAACAAGTCTTAATTATGATTCTATTACATAGATTTAGTCGACCATCTTTCAATTATTTCTCTAGCAAGAAACATTCCTTCCAATACTGAGAAATACTTAAGCTTCACACAAAATTTCATTGTCTTTAATACATATTCGTTAAATGGTAAAGTGAATGCGTTCAACCATGGAAGTTAATTGTCCTGGGTGATATGCTTGCCGTGTACTAATACTTTTGTCCGTTAAAGAATTAAACAGTTTGATTTGACAGCGACTGTGATCTTTCGCAAATGCCATAGAGAACATTTATATGTCAAAGGTAAAATAAAATTCGTTTGACTAGTTCGGCATGTGTTTTTTTTTTGTTCTGCCTCACACGTACAGTGTAGCACTTCGAATCCCATTTACATGAAGGAAGAGAAATTCGAGGAACATGATAGCAGAGATAAAAATACAACTAAAGTTACGCAAACGTGTATCCCACGCAACGAGAAAGTTGACTTCTTTTTGTGAAGCGTGAGTCACACAACTTTGCTTAGCGGCAGCGTCCCCCGGGTTCGTGTTCGTCAATTTTCCATTCGATAAAACGTCGCTATTTGTCGAAAGAAATCGCTCCCAAAAAACCTCGTAATCCATCGTGGCGGCAATACTTTTCTTCTTTTTCACGATCTTTTCGCTGAATAATGGAAACGTATCTACTTGTGTGAGAACACGGCTGAACTGAATACTTCTTTTATTATTATACGTTTACAAGGATCCGCATATTTCCTAAGGAATCGTTATAGAATCGTTTTCATCGTTACGCACGTTTTGCAAACGTTATACGTTTTTTTTTTTCTTCCAGCGATTGAAAACGCCTCGAACATCTCCCCGTGAACTTCGATTAAATAACGACAGATTTTTTTGTTTGGTTTAAGAGTTAATTAGGGAGACAATCCTGTGAAAATTGGCTCGTTCGCTGAGACGGTACATTTTCAGAGATCTATCATCGGGCGTAAACGAATATCGAAAATAAATTTGTATATATCTACGCTTGTACGATTCTCGTCGCCATATTGGAATTTGTGCAAAAGAAGAAATAGTAGCCGTACGCTCACCCAGGATTATCAGCGAGAACGCTAGATTTTCGAGACTCTGGCCACTTACCAAGCGACATGTTCACTTTCGCGTCGATCTCTGACATGTTTTACTTTGTTTATTTCTATCTCTTTCGATATGAAACACGCAATGGCAGCGATTTAACAACTTTAATTGTCGTTCTTAACGTCACCATAGACCGTACACAATGACATCACACGACATACAGCACGCGAATGGAGGAACGAATACACAACGAACGAGCACAACGCCGCCAATTGCAGGAAGTTATGTATAAACCGGAAGTGGGGGCTTTGTTCGCGGTGATTCGATTCCGCGCAGCGTGAAAATTTGAATCGCGTAAGATACTTGATAATTTAAATATTCCATTTCACTTGAAATATTCAAGCAGAAAAATTAGAATGTAGTTTGTACTTGACAAGATATTTATGTTGATAAATTTTATGTATTATTTAGAGATTATTTAATATACAGGGTGTCCCAAAAATGTTGTAACACCTTGAAAGAGGTGGTTCGGGAGGTGATTTGAAACAACTTTTTCCTTAGCGAAAATGTTGTACGAGGCTTTGTTGAGGACATATTAACGGAAAACCCCGACCAATCAGAGGGCGAGTATACCGTTGGAGCGCCCGCGGTAGCGTATGAGCGCAGCCGCTTAGCTCGTAGCCTACGCTACCGCAGCCGCTCCAACGGTATCCTCGCGCTCTGATTGGTCATGTTCTCCATTAATATCTCCTCACAAAGCCTCGTACAACATTTTGGCTACGGAAAAAGTTGTTTCAAATTACCCCCCGTAGCACCCCTTTCAAGGTGTTACAAGATTTTTGGGACACCCTGTATAGAAGTCCAATAAGTTTGTTTGATTTTAATCGTGACTTTACTATTCACATTGTTCAAACGTTTCCAAGTAAAATAATGCTCAAATTATCGTATTCTTGAATAACTATATTGAGAATTACTCATTTATTTCAGATAAAATGTCATCAGTGGTATACAACAAAAAACTAGAAAATAATACAGCTGTGCATCGGTGCTATATTTTTGCAGATAGAGAGAATTTTAACGAAATGCCTCGTCGGTGGAGAATTCTTTTCGATTCAGGAACAATTAGGGAACGGTAATAGATTTCGCTTGTTAGAAGTAATATTTACGTATTATTTAGAGATTATTTAAAATACTAAGTGCGCGTTGTATACTTCGCATAGATATAACAGCTGCCCATATATAAAAGTCCGATAGGTTCGTTTATGTTCATTTAACGTCCTTGATTTTGATCGTGATTTTGCCGGGCTTTTGTGACCGCGCTTCATCACCACTTACTTAAAAAATAAAAACAGTCTTATTAGATTTGTAAATATGGATGTTATTATACGAAAAGCAAAGAGGGAAGATTGCACATCTATTAAAAATTTGATACAGGCAAACATAATATGATATACATACTCTATTATATACATAAATTATAAATGCATTGCTTCAACATTGCTTTACATTTTTATTATATTGTTTTAGGAATTGGCCGACTTTCAGAACATGCCGGATGGACCAAAGATTGATCATACAAGTGAGAATTTAATAATAATCATCTTTAACTTGAGTATTTTAAGCTAAATTACATATATGATTTGATGTATATTGTAAACAACAATTTTAGCATTAGAAAAGGATGGATTTGACACGGAACCTGCATTGTACATGTGCTTTGTGGCAGAAAGAAACAAAAGAATAGTTGGTTATACGATTTCATACTATACATATTCGACATGGTGTGGGAAAGCTATGTACTTGGAAGATATTTATGTAACCGTTGATTGCAGAGGAAAGCATATTGGTAGTAAATTGTTGAAAGCTGTTGCAAAGGTTTCTATTGATATTATATTTATTTATGTAACACTAAGTTTATACTAATACTAAGTTTATTATTTGTAAAGGAAGCCTCAGATAATAACTGCTGTAGACTAGATTTTTCAGTTCTTAAATGGAATCCTGCACAAGATTTTTATAAACGTAAAGGAGCAGTTGATGTAACAATAGAAGAAGGATTCCATCACTATCGCTTATCGAATACTGTTTTGAAATCCTTAGCTATGGATGCTGTATAATTATTATTGGTATTATATTAGCGTGATTATTATTGTACTATATATATTAACAGTAGTCAACTGTTAAAAAACAACTGAAATAATAAATATTACGTTGTATGTATGAAAAGCTGTAATTATTTAAGAGTTTTATTAAAAAGAATTGTTCTAAGAAAGAATTAATAATTGTTTAAACACAAATATGAGCGATAAACAGGTAAGCTTATACTTTAATTCATTTTTCTAATACAAAATCAATATTATACTAATCTTAATGAAATAATTTTATTTTAATTGTAGCTTCCATATCTATTTTCCTCCACACCATTATTGTTTGAACCAAATGCAACTAGTAAATTTCCTACTACAAAAAAACAATCAGACGAGGATTATGAAGAACTTGACTCTGATATATTATCGCATAGCGATATGAGTTGGGGGTCTTTGGAAGATAGATACGTGCCATTTGAAATTTTATCCGATGACTCTGATTCAACTACTTCCTTAATTTCTTCTACCACGAGTGTAACTGTTTCTCGATACAAATTTTATTTTATTTTGTAACATAATTGAAATCACGACTTTTTATTTTTAAAGTCTGGTTCTTCGATTGTGCTCGATCATATGCCAGTTCCAGTAAACGTAGATGCGATACACTGTGCAAATGAAAGCAATTGGGCTAATTATGCTTTAGACCCCGATGCATGGGACGATGATAAAGCGCGCATTGTAAAACTGAGACATCTTAACGAAATATTATTCGACGATTTTGAGTTTTGTGGTTTTTTAACAGATAGACTGATAGGCGTTGGTTCATCATTTTTGGCTAAATCTCCCGAAAATGGTCTATACGTCTTGAATAAATGTGTCATGAAGAATATGGTATTCTACTATCATTGAATTAATGAAAAGTCTTGTATAAAAGAAAAAAAAATTTTGTAATTACTTCTTTACAGTCACTTTCCAACATTACAATGTTACATTATCACCGTTATTTGCGGTACATCGATCTTACATACAATTATATATCAGATTTGTCTCCTTTGGGAGGAGTTCCCTATCTAATGTATCTAAACGTAGCTCACAATAGAATTCAAATTATTTTAAATTTTACACCTCCGTGGTATTTGACTTACGTAAATTTATCGTACAATTATATATCGGAAATGCGTGATATCAGTAATTTCTGGAGTATCGTACACCTGGACTTATCGCACAATGCAATTGAGGTCATTTCTGGTTTGCAAAATTTAAAGTTAGTGAATTTATCTACATAGTTGAAAAAAGTAATGTTTTACATATTATATCTTACGTTTTTAGGTATTTAAAATACTTAAATTTATCGTATAATTTAATCGAATGCATTGAGAATTTAGATAAATTAAATATTCAAGAACTCAATTTAGAAGGCAATTGTATAACTACATTCAAATCTGCTGTGCCTGGTTATAATATAAACACGTTACCTCATTTACGAGTCATATATCTAGGATATAACAAGATATCTGACTTAGAATTTTTTAAGGTAATAATTTTCATGCAACTAAATTGTAACTTTTAGTTACTGAGACCATTGAGTATAATATTTGAACGTTTAGGATGGATACAGTTTGCGCGTAATAGATTTGAAATTTAATAGAATTTCCGATTTATTAGAGTTATCAAATTTCAAAGGTTTCATAGATGAAATAGACCTTAGGGGCAATGGTTGCACAAAATGGCCTAATTATAAAGGTGTGCTTTTATTTTCCATACCAAGTATACAAGTTATCGATGGTGCTGTTGTGACTATTTCAGAAAAGGTTTGTAATAAAACATCAAATCTTCATAATTGTTTGGTATAATGAGAAGACTGGTTTAAGTAGATTGCTGCTGCTACTCTGTTCGCGCCACCAGTGAATTTAACAGCTGCTCGTACTGTCACAAAATTAACTTTATTAGAACATTTAAGTACACCAACAATTGGTCTACACGTGATGCCATACAACGAGGCAAGCCCGCCTTTGATCATTCTTACAGGTCCATCAGCTCTGAAAAAAACATCTTTAGCTATGCACATTGTTCAAACGCTTCCAAGCAAAGTAATGATCAAATTATCATATTCTTGAATAACTATATTGAGAATTATTCATTTATTTCAGATCAAATATTGTCAGTGGTATACAACAAAAGAACCAGAAAATGATACTGCTGTGCATCAGTTCTACCTTTTTGCAGATAGAGAGGATTTTAACGACATGTCTCGTCGTGGAGAATTCTTAGCGATTCAGGAACAATTAGGGAACAGTTATGGATTTCGTTCGTTAGAAGTATTTTGTATACAATAATTTATATAAAATTATTTTCCAATTGTAATTGGATTATATATTTATGCAGATTATAATCAAATTACCTCGTTAATATTGGAGAACAAAATTGGTATCACACAAATGGATTTACATGCAACCATTCAAATGACTAAGCGCTACTCCAACGTTAAGCCAATTCTTGTCTCGACACAAAAGGAACAAATTCATCGTATTTGGATACAAGAAAAGTTTGATGTCTATACGTGTGACAAGTCTAGCATGGAAAATTTATTGGCTGAGAAAGGGCACAAAACTACAGAAGAAAATATTTCGGCGTCTACAAATATTAAAAAAATTTTGGATGATGTATGAGTAATACCTTCATAATAATGACAATACAAAAACCAATAATATTATAATTACTATCACAAATACTTTCATTTATAGATTATAGATAGTTGTCCATTACCTACAAAAAGTAATGATAAGAAACAATCAGACAAACGTGTAACAATGACTGAGATATTAGAAAGTACCTCAGCAGTATATGAAGTAAAAAAGGAAGAGTCAAAAACTGAAGAGAAAAAATATATCACATTTCAAGAAAAGGAAACTGATCACTCAAAGAAAAGTTCGCTCACAGAACTTTATGTATCAAATTCTCAAGCTAAATTAAATAATCAAACAGAGTTGAGAGTATGGATGTACTTATTAACACTTATTTAAATATGCAATGATCAATAACTGTATCATTGGATAGGTAATTTTGGATGAAGATGCAAACGTCATAGTTGAAGACAAAGAATTAAAACGTAAGAGGTATCAGGAAAGATTGCTGCATCGACGAAGTACATTACTAGATGACGAAGAGTTCTTTAGCACAGAAGACCATAGTGACTCGGCATCTAGCGAAGAAACAGTAGTAGATCCAGTTTGTATTCAAGAAGTATTATAACTGCTCACTATGTATTAAAGGAAATTCCTTAAATAATGTTATTTCATGATCAATTTAAGCGGTTTTTGGAAACAAGAAGACCAGAACACTTAAAAGAATTGTACACTGAACTCGTAATCAAGACAAGGGAAATGTACTTGAATCATCACGTAAACAATCCAGGATTCTTTTTTTCAGTGGTCATTATTATTATTCTTGCCAAAGCTCATTTGAAAGATTACCAAACTTATAACATTTTATCTAACGATCTTTAATTATAACCATTTTATAGTTGCTGACAGATAATTATATGAAAGCATTTAATACACTCATTGATTTTATTTATAATGTATACACAAACCATCCTACCGAAAATCCTAAACATTTTACTGAAATCGAGCATTTTTCCGAAGTTGCTGTTCCGGCAATGATCGACACTGTTGTTGATGAAATAAGACAGTAAGTCTTTATTTTTCTTTAACTAGTTGTTACATGCAATGCTATTTTCTAAATGAATTTATAGATCGTTGTCGACATCCATACTACAAAGGAAAACTTTGTTGAGAGCCTATGGCATTACTTCTTGGAAAGATTTAATGCCTAGTCAAATGGATACACATTCAGCAAAATTTACTAATTAAAGGTATATGTTCGTTAAAATCCAAAAATTAATTACAATCTCTAACGTTTATATTATTGTTAATCATTTTTTAAGTACATTTTAATAAAAATATAAACGTATAATATAAAATTGACTTCATTTTTCTTCATAGTATATTTTATTAATAACAATTTCATTGGTACATAGCAATTAATTATATGTAGAATGAACACATTTTTTCAAAAATACTTTCGTATAAGGAACTCTCGATTATGACACGCATATGTAAAAATATGTACTTATTGTTCTACTTATTTATATTAGTTTAATTACACATTTTTAATTGAAAAAATAAACAAAACATCAGTCGTTTATGCAAGTACAAATATTTAAGATTCTCCAAAATATCTTCTTAGAAGAAAAATTAATTATACTTTAAATGCTAAAGTTTATAAGCCACGCATCGTACATAAGCTGTATTACTTACAGCTATTCATTTTTTATGTTACCATTTTCATTATACTTGACTGCATAATCACATGTGCGTCTTATCAATAGGAGGGAGATTGCTGCTTAAAGATGATGTATCTGATGCTTGTATTATCACTTGTAAACTTGTATTGTAATTTGTACTTTCCTCAGATATTTTCTGGTCATTGAAAGTAACCGCAAAGGAGTCTTCGTCGATTTCAGGCAAAGGATTTTGCAAGAGGACAAATTTTGTTTGAGTATCGATAACGTCCAGTTTAGAACGATTCATTTGAATCCACGTTTGCTGCAATGTATCGTGCTCATGATTAATTTTTTTTGGTAACTCGTTAGTTTCCGATTGAACACTATACGCATCAGAATGATATTTTGCATGGTCGTTTAAATTTTGCTTTTGTTCAAACACCAAGTTACAGCGGTTACATCTGCAAATAAACCAATTAGATTATAAATATAAAATTGGTAATTAGAGGATATAAGTTTTAATATCTATATTTACTTATATTGTGTTTCGGTAGTCTTTTTTGGTTTATTTTCATATAGATCATGAATTTTTTGATGAGCAAGCAAATTATATCGTTCCGCAAATCGTCTCCCACATAATGTGCAACTATATGCTTTTTCACCAGTATGAACTCGCATATGCCTTTTTAAGTGAGACGTTGAAAGTAGAGACAAATCACACATCTGTAATATACAGGGTATTTTCTTTGAGACAAACACTAAAAAATATCTTTTTTTAAGGTAAAAAAAAAAGTAAAATTAATGTTTACTACCACTTACACTGCACTTATAAGACTTTTTTCCACTATGTGATAATCTGTGCATGTTATATGATGTGTGATGTATAAATCTCTTTCCACATACTTCGCATTGGTAAGGCATTTCACCAGTATGCATTGGCAAGTGTCTCATAAGTGCTCCTTTCTGGGTAAAGCATTTATTGCAGAAATTGCATTGGAAAGGATTTATTCCATTATGCATTCCCACATGTATTTCTAATGCATGTTTATGCTTGTATGCCTGACCACATTTTTCACACATATATGGCTTTAATGTAGAATGACTTTTTATATGCGTTTTTAGTTCAGCTGATGTCTTCCACCTTTTACCACAAGTCGAACAAGAGTATTTCAATGGCTTTAAATTGCACTTTGATACTTTTCCTGATTTCATAGAAACATCTACTTCATCTATTTTTGATGCTGTATATACAAAACAATTTGAATAAGTATAAACATAATACTTGAAATTTAATTAATTAATATACTTGATGAATAGAAAGAATTTTTAGTACCTGTTGTGTTTTCAGTATTTTCTTTTGTAACATTTTCATCTACTTCTTTCCATTTGAAATCAATCAATCTAGTGATATTTTGTATGTGTGGCTTATTGTTAGAAAAAATATCATTGTTGTCCTCAATGGGCATCTTTAGTGTATGCATATTTGCTAAAGGAACATAAGAAAATTTGTTTTACATTATTACTATTAATAATATTGAAAAGTATTGTCTTTAAAAATTAATTTTGGTAATTTAATTACTTAAACAGTTTGTCTCTGTATTAATATATTTACTATATACTTACTTTGTGCAGAGTTAATGGTATATGGATTGGTTTCATCGGTTAATGCTATTGAATCATGAATCATTACTCTTCTTTTAAAGTCTTTCTTTGATTCTGCAATGGTCTTTGCACTAATATCACAATTTATGTTTGGAAGACTTATTTGCCTGATTACTTTATCTTTAATGTATTGTTGCTCTACCATTTCCTCAATTTGAAGGCCTTGTAAACTTGACCCTCCTTTTAAGCATTCATCACTGTTGTTTATGTTTAACTTATTGTCTTCTAAGACTACGGTCGTATTTAAATTCAAGTTGGCATCATTATTTACTGTTTGCTTTATAATCTTTCTTCTCTCAGTAGCATGATATATCTTCAAAATTTCATAACGTATGTTTGAAACAGTCTTCTGTGCTTGTTCCAACATTTGGAACAGATTATAACATTGCAAACAGATGTAAGAATCGTGCAATTCATTAACAGCTATGAGAAGTACTTTTGATATGAAATCTGCTAGTACCTCCTCGTTACGAGGCAAGGATGTGCAAAATATATTTACACATGACGATACGTCAAGATTTATATTACATACGAGACAAAATAAATTTGACATTGGGATTTTATTGAAGTCTCGTTTGAATTTTATAAAAACTCCGAATTGAGAATTTAATTCCCCATTTGTAATTTATAGTATTACTTTATGACAAATAACAGGCACAAACGTGACCATTTTATTTGATAAACGTAAATAATGTTTTGAAAATGCATGTCAAATGTAACCTCTACTTCATTTCGCAACATAACATATCAGTAGTCTTCTACATTAGATAACTTCAAAGTAATTGTTTGTATCATGAAAATAGCAATAGTAGATAGTTTTCTTTTTAGTTTAAATAAATGAATTGTTACATATAATTTCTTGTATACACATGATATACATATTACATATCAATGGGTGCATTGGAAACAACACCACTGAACACCACTGACCACCGCTCACTAAGCCTCTCTGTGAGCGGAGTTTAGTTCAGTGGCGCCATCGGTGGAAAAACGTCCAAGTTTGCAGTGGAAATAGTTCCCACCATTTTTATAAGATGGCGCCACTAACTAAAGTACCGGTAATTATTGACTCATAAGATAAAAATATTCTATTCAAATTAATTATTCAAGAATGTAAAAAACGTCGTTAGTTTCTCTTGATAGACAAATTGTTTTCACTGAAATCAGAAGCTATCCAACAGATAACACACCGAACTAATTAATTTTTAAACTTACAGTCAGCGCCCTTGATGGTAAAACGCTCCAGTTTGTTATGAAATAGTTATCACTCTCGAAGCTAAATGACGTCCTCCACGCCCTTCTTTATCCTTTGCCTTTATCCATCCCTATTAATAATACTCACACCCATACATACACAAATTACGTTTATACTCTCTAATATCTAATAATGCACTTTTAAACGAACTACACTTACATACTACATATCCTCCCTCATGCCTCTTAATCATGTTTTAACAGAATAAACAATTGTACATTAATTTACATTTATTTCTTTCAATCATAAATCATAAGGGGAAGTAAAACACCGACGAAGTAATAATAAAATCATATGTACATGTGACAATTTAATGATATTAATCCTAATATATAAATTAAACACATATCGTTGTACAATATTTATTTTAATAAATATTTCTATCGTATAAATTGTGGTACACAGTACACAATGCAAAGTCATTAAGTACTAATACCAAGAAGTACGTTTTTTTTATTTATTTTTTTTTATTTGTATTAATCATATAGCATAAACGAAAGTATAGAATTATTTACAAAAATGTAACAAGATTGGGATAATACTTTTTATGCATACTAAAATATTACATTTATCATGTATGAAAATATTATGAAGTATTTGAGTTTTTGAATATGCATGAATATGCGAATTGCAATTCACTGTATTGCAATTACAAGAAGACTGAAATCTTTGCATAACAGAATAGCATCTTATCAATATAATTTCATTGTTATGCAATGATAGAACACAGTAAGAAATGCTCAGATGAGAAAGTCACAGAAAATGGGAGATTTAATATAAATAATGTTTTCGAATATAATGTAATGAATATTCTATTAATATTGTTTATAGTTTGTATTCTAAGAATAAGTTAGAAACTGGAGCACAAAAATTGCTATTTAAAAACTCAATTAATGTATCAAAAATCTACTTAAAATATTTCAATGATGACTATAAAAAAGTTATTTCTATATAACAACACGGTAGATTAATACACATTTTGTCAAGAGTTCGTGTGTATGTTTCTTAATATGAAAATAACATTTCATGAACTATGCAAATTGAATTTCACTTTCAAAATTATATTTAGAAAAGTAAGAATTACGTTTTGTTTACAATGTTTTTTTTCAGAGGGTTAATGAATATACTTCGTAACCTTATTTTTTGAACAAAAATTTGCTTAAACAAACTGGGAAAACCTTCTTTCAACTTATACTTAAAAATTACGTATATATTACGTATATTTCACCAAAAATTATGGGATACATTGATGTATATAATACTTTTCATGTTAAAAGACATTGAAAAGTTCTTGATCATTCTTCAATCTGAAAGTTCGTTTTTGAGATATAAGTAATTCGAATTTGGAAGTTTTTGGTATGCGTTGTTTAAAGGAACATATATATCTAGAAGCAATGTTTGTAATTCTTTCCTAAACAATTCAATTCACTAATAGAGATATTAGCATTAAGTCATAAATGTGAATATTGCTATATCTCGAAAACAAAACTAGAGACTGGAATAAATTAAACATTTCAACTGCGCTCAAAATTGTCGGCCACTCTCTATAGACTAGTAAAATGTCAACAACATTAAGCGTTTTAACTGATTAAATATTTTGAAAATTTAATGAATATCTTAATAAAGAACGTGATATTAAGATTAAAATTGCTTTTAAATGAAAAAAGGAGGGCATTTGCGTGCATTGTCATTAAATTACGAGATCAAAAATATTAACCCTTTGGAGCTGTTTGGAACGAGTTGTATAAAATCGCCCAAAGCGCAAAGGTCAATTTTCTATCAGGTTACACGTCATTAACTGTTACAATGTTACCTTAGCGTTAAATTAAAAAATCAACTAAGTACGTAATTCAACCCTGGAAGCATAATTTTAATCCATAGAGTAATGTTTATAAAATTGTTTAACATAAAAACGTTAAACCGTGTTTTTCTACGGAGAAGAATATATGTACCCGTATCGAATGTTTACTTGTGCCATAAGGTAAACATTTGTATTTGATATAAACACATGTGTATAAAGAAAAGAACGTCAGGTTTATAATTGTACACTAAAGATTGTTAATATGCGTATTTGTCCATTAAACACTGCAAAAAATTGTTAACAGTTTATTCAAACCATTTTCGAAATCGTTTCAAATATGTTCTTCACAATGATAGTGTATATGTATATGTATTATATACACTATCATTGTGACTATGTATATATATATAAAACTTTTGTCCCGTTTTGTAATGCACAACAAATATTTTAAAAAGGACTCAATCACATTTTTTTATTATATAATTGTGTGAATGTATTCCTTATTTTTAAAGAGAAATTATATTGTTAATAAAGTAGCCAATATTACCTGTTTAAAGTTAAAAGGTATTCACAAAATATAGTCAACATCTACCTTAATACATATGTTAATGAAGATACATAACTGACAGTCCATTTCATTATTATGTTTCAATCATGCTTCCTTACTATTTCATTGAAGAAAAAAACATAATACAATATTATACATATATATTCTCTTACCTAGGTAATTTGAAATGTGTTTGGCAAAGAGAGATAAATATCATGTTACTTCATTATACTACTCTGTTGTTTCAGTACATTGTTTTACAAAACTTTTAACTATGGACATACACAATATTCATACATACTCAAATACGTGTAATGAGAAACAATATCTATCTAAAATTAACATCACTTTTTTTTTGTATATCTCCTTTAATCTCTTGAAAGAATATTTCTAAAGACAATTACAGTAGACCCTTGATATAACGTCCCTGGCAGGGGTATGAGAATGGGTAATAATATCGCGGGTCTATTGTATTAATTACAATTATCTCTTTTTCAGTTGACAATTTTTCCTAGCAAACTGAATGTTCTGTTACAAATAAAATTTTAATTTCCATTACGAAATTAGAAAAAAATTTTTCTTCAATGTTTTTTCCATGTTCATTCATATATAAACTATAAAAAAAATACTGTTTAAAGATGATCATTCCTGCAGTCATAACAAATTTTTATTTAAAATACCTAATTCTGTAACGAAAAGCAATAATCCATATTGTCCTCGAAGTATGCCTTCCAATATAATTGAAATTAACAATTTAAATACAAAATTGCAATACAGTCACGTTAAGCATATAAAAAGCACCTTCTTATATAATTTTCATTACATAATGAAAAGTAAATACCTATTTAAGATTGTTCTTGCAGAGAATTAAATGTACGTGTATATACAGAGTGTGTTCATCTTCTGGTAAATATTTTAGGGGATGATTTGAAGTCAACATAAAAGAAAAATTAATTAGAATAACCCTCTAAAAGTATTCACCATTAATAAGTACACTTATATGCTTGAGAAAAATTAAATGAAAATATACAGTGTGAATGTGCGTACGTGTCCGTGTGTGTGTGTGTTTGTGTGGGCGCTCGTGTGTATGCATTTGATATATCACATTAATTAAATACAAACAATATGAATTAATTAAATAGTAAAAATTATTGTTTATGAAACCAGCCTTACAATGGAATTATATCCAAGATAAGTGTATAAGGTAGTTCACTAGAAACAAAACATCTAGATGAATCATACTTTTACAGATATAAAAAATTAATGTAAACATAAATGGAATTATTTTAGGGCGCAAATATGATATACACCGTTTCTTGTGGGTCGTATAATTATTTTGTTACGGTCACTAGTATGCCTTTAAGTATAGCTTGTTTTAGAAGTGTAAATGGTAAACATTAAAAATTACTTTTAAAGACCTATTATATTACATGAATAAATTCACTTAACATCATCTGAAAGTCATTTTTAAGAAGAACAGAAGATCTTTTGTGTATCATGCTTGCGCTTCAGAACAACTCATATTATGGTTGGTGCATTATTTTCATATCTTCAAAGCTAATAAAATTATTTAGAAATTTTATTTCTGGCAAACCACCCTGTGTATTAGCCGCGAACGCTACGGCGTCTCCTGATCAGGTACTTCACGTGTACTTGATAACACAATGCTTTAGGAGAAAAGCATTCATCTCCAAGCAATATCTTTGTATAAATGTTCTACAATTTTTCTTGTTAAATTAATTCATTTATATTCCGTATTCGAAATATTGTTTAATTTTTGTTTACGATACACGTTATACTCAACTGAACCTAAATTACATAAAAAGTACATGGTAACTAATGGAGTTTAATAGATTTGAAACATGTCGCACACATTATTTTGTTTGTACAAATAGAATGTTTTGTTTCTGAAGACTTTCATCTTAATTGTATTCTTGTTTACAAGCTGTCATTTCAGTTTAAAAAATTGTAATTAAGAAAAAACTAAATGAATCAGATCGTTTTATTGTGTCGCTGAATTATTTATATATGGAAAATCATAAATGAGTTAAGAAAGCACATTTTTTGTTAAACTAACAAGTTTTGTATAGCACTTTGACCATGCTACGCAAGTGCCCAAACAATTTCAGTTAACTCTTCATGTTTGGTCTATTTTGAATATGTAGTTATTTACATTGTTACATTACATTATAAGGACTTATGGATGTAATGATACAGCATGACATAGATAGAAGTCCAATTGACTTCAACTAAAAAGGAATAAAATTAATTTTCATACCAGTTGGACAATAATCGGTAAGAAAACCATCTTGCATGTATGATTAATAATTGTTTCCTTCTCATTGTACAACTAATATCAAGGTGCGCTAACATATTGAAGTAATCACATTAACCCTCAACAGTTTAATTGCCAACATCAGTGAATTGTTTAATTTTTAAATATATTTATATACACTTGAGAAATGAAAACTTAGCGCTGTTAATTAATAAAACAATATAAAGTAAAGGTTTCCTCAGAATTACACGACCTTTGTATTGATATGCCTTTAATTTTTTAAATAGAAAAATTACTACGTCTGTGTAACACGGAAAATAATTTAAAGTGAAAGTAACATTGCAAAAAAATAATAAGGTAGACGTATTTAACTTCTAATGTTGTAATATTATTTAAAAAAAATTGTAACTGAACAATTGCGCTTCAAATACAATTATCATGTAAATTGAAAAATACCTGTAAAATATCCATTGTGCATTAATATTCTGCAATTAGAATTAATATGTAGATCATCCAAATAATGTGAAATTAATTAATAATCGCGGATATTGTATATCACTTTAATAATAATAAAAGAAAATACGTAATAATTGTTATTGCTTTTCCATGTAGGGGCAGAAATATCAAATGAATATGAGATATCTAATAAATATTTGTGCTTATAGAAATCCATTTGACTAGTTGGTCATGATCCACTATGCTATTAAATTGTCATGACAGTGCCTTATATATACAATCATGGAAAAATGACTTTTATGACATCAACCAGTCGTTAATTGTTCATTGAAATAAGTAGGTACTGGCTTTCTTGCGGATTAAAAGCATATGCAAAATTCATTTCATTAAATCGAGACTGTACATGTAATGCTGTTTTGTTCTATACATACTTTTTAGTTGTTTATTACATATGAAAGTACTTCACTGTTTTCGAAAGGAACAACGTAGTAGTTGATGTTCTACCATTACTATTAGCCTTTTGAAGCTTTAATAATAATAATAATAAAAAAAAACAGAGAGAGAGAGAAATGGATAGAAAGTAACAGTCTAATATTTTCGCAAAATATAATTAAGCATAAAGCATTAATTGGTATACTAAAACTATCAAACGTTAAGAAAAAAAAAATCGTGACGTATAGTTGTATAAAATTAATATGTACGAATCGATAAGTCGTATAAATGCTATATATTATCAACGTTTACTTCACATAACATATTACAAATAAACTCTTTATCTTATTCTTTCATCTAAACTGTTCAACGATTTATTAGCAAATGAACAGAATCACCAATTTATATTTGTAAAGATTATTCAAATGTTTAAACATTACAAGAAACAAATATTTTGTATTCTAGAATTTATTATTTAAATCTTTGAATTAAAACAGATTTATCCCCTCATTGTCAATAAAATAACGTACATGTCTACCTTAAAGTCTTCACGAATCCTCTATTTATCATTTAAAAACTGTACATATTTTTAAAATGTTACCAAGTATTTAACACTTATTTTACACCGTTCGAAAGCCAATACGCAAACGTATCACTAAACTAACAAATTACAAGGATTTAAAAACATAAAAAAAAAAAAAACTTATAGAAATGAGAGTATCGATAGAATAATGACCGTTTAAAATGAATTTGGCGATTTGACATTTACATCAATCTTTTTGAATGACGAACGGCAGGTTTTTTTCAATGTATATTAATGGCTGGTTTTGGATGATCACGTGACTTAAAATGGCTTCACTTGCCAAAGACATTAAATACAGTTTGTATGCTGGACTAGCTTCGTATTACGACTTGAGTAAGATTTGTGCCTATAACAAGTCGTCATAGATTTAGGCATATGCTGTAGGAGGATCGAGAACAGACTATATTTTTAGTCCTTTTATCCTTCAAATAAAATATATGATATTACTAATTTTCCAATTTTTCACATTTCTTCATCTGTATGTTATGGGATATAACAAAATTAACGAAGTATACAATTTGAAACAGTAAAACACTTCTTTATCAAATATGTATAGCGATATTGAATGTAATGTCATAATTAAATTTGTCAAATATTAAACTTTGCATGGACATACTGAATTGACTATAACGTTCAATAATTATTCGAGATGATGAGATAATGTACGCGTTACTTTTGTTCCAGTTTTGTTCAACGTATGTTAGAAACTTGATAAAGATAAGATCAACCTACAGCACGTTTAACAGGACGCAACTAACTTTTAAATATTCTTAAATCCAATAGTAGCCACGTCCTATAGTCATACGTAGTTAATGACATTGTATCATTTTAGGTGACAAATATGATGCAAAACATGTTTCTAGAAGTCTCTCATGGAAGACATTGTAAAAATATTTCTCTATGTCAAACTTGAGAAATTTATAGTACGAATTGAGGTTTTAAAGAGAAATATTACATATAATTACTCTAGATAGATCTTAAAAGAATTAGATGCTTTAAGTTCTATGTGTGTATTTCATTTATGACATTTTTTATTCTAATAAAATAAATATATATGCGTGTAAAATTTAAGCTCGTATTTTAAATTTCCATCGAGGAACACAGTAATATTCTTTTTGTGGAAAAATATTTCGTTAATACTTTATACAGATTTTGAGACGATTAGACGTATTGAAACTCTATGCATTTACATTCAAAAATTCTTATCTCGGTAAAATAAGTGCATTCCTTTGTTAAATTCAAGCTCATATTTAAATTTCCATTGAGAAACATACTTGAAACATGTTTATTTAATTTATAACCAATTTATGTGAAGCCTTAATGTGGCCAATATTACAATCTTTAAGCTTCGGTAGACGTTATCAGGGAATTCTTAGGTGTATATACTGTCGCATTTGGATCCAAATTCGAAACTGTACACCCAGGACAGGGACTTTCATTAGAACGTATTTTTGTACCTGCAACTCGCACTTCATTACTCAACCGAAGCTTAGATGTCGCGCAGGTTGGTGCTGGACCAAATGTGTCTTGTGGCATCACAGCTAAATCTTGGGCTATTTTTGCTTTTAGCGTTTCAATTTCCTTTTCTTGAGATCTAATTAAATCTGATTCAACATAAAATGCATCATGTATAATATACCACGTAAATTGCTCAAGTTATCTCGAGTGTCCGTTAAGTTATTAAATACTAAGTAATATGTCCTAAACCATACTAAAATATTCTATGTCTTGAAATACTTATGAGTATCGAAGTAGTGTAGTATATAAATCAATATGTACTTACTTTCTCTGATTTCTAGCTGTCGCTTAGCTTCGCCAAGTGCAGAAAATAAATCAAGTTTTATACGGGTTTCTGCACTTAAACTGTCTTCTAAGTGAGCAGTTTTGTCTTGTAGCGCACTTAGTGCTCCGAGCAGAATTTCTGATTCTTTATGATTCTCCTTACATCGTGTAACGTCTTTCTCTAGCGCACTGAACCTAATTTTAAAACCATTATATTGTACCTTATGGACAAATTGTAATAACGTAATCGTTGATTTGAAATTTGTACCTTTCTTCTTTTGTTTTAAGTTCTCGCCGCAAATTTTTAAGTTCTTGCTCCATTTGCGCCCTACGAGTTTTACACGCATCCGTGCATTCTTGCCTAATAAGTGGCGGAGGCGGAGGCGGAATTGCAGAACGTGCTTCCTCTGCAGCTCGTCGAGCTCGTCTTTCAGAAACTAATGATGCTTCGCAAGCAGTACGCTGTTTCCTTTCTTCTGCGATTCTTTTCTCCAACGAAGACATGGCTTGTTTATCTAATTGACGAGCTGTTACTAATCCATGTAACCTGTAAACAATAAATATAAAGAAAATTTGAGGTGTCCTACGACTAAGGAAAAGATTAAAATACTATTTTATATCATTCGAAACTACTTACTTGCTTTGCAACTGATCGTTGTCATGTTGCAGTTGTTGTATATCTCCTTTAGATTGACGTTCTCCATTCTGTAGAGTATTTATCTGAGAACGAAGTTCTTGTTCCAGTTGACGACTGCATTGCAAGTCTGACTTTAGACGTTTTATATCAGCCTCAAGCCTGCGACACACCAGTAACCTATTTAAATGATATCTAGTTACATTAAAGAAAAACCTCATAATAAAGCAGTTAGATTTTCTTAATAGTAGAGATCATGAATATAATGAAAAAAAAAAAAAATTTCATAGTCTTAAATAAGAGTTACAGAATTTAATTCTATAAGGAACATAATCACTTATACTCTAATTTCGATAGGTTTCTCGATTTTGTTGTCTTAGTAATTTTATGTTACAGTCTATTATCAAAAAAACTATATCGCAATACATCAGTATTTACCACATAATATTATTTCATAGAAATCACTAATCAATCTATAGATATTTATCGAATAAGTATTACAATCTATGTACCTTTGACAATAATCGTCTTGTTGTTTCTGTTGTTCGCTTATATTATCAATTGATGCTTTAACCTGACGAGTTTTACGTTCACGTTGAGTATTAGGGGTGCATGATGATTCTCGACTTTCTTTTATATTATTCCACTTCCCTGTTACAGAACCATTAGTCTGAGATTTCATTGTAGTGTGCCCACAGCTTCCACCCTTCACAAATTTGTCTTTCTCTATTTCATTTGCATCAAAATCATTCACAGATCTGGATTTCACATTTTGAATTTTAGTAAGTTTCTTGAACATCAGAAAAAGTGCACGCCCGCGCGTCTTACTTACCCGACCCTCTCAATGAACTGTATATCGTTGTGAGTAACTGTACTTCCATTGGTATGTATAAACCTTTTATCATTTTTGTCAGACTGTGATATACTCGTTATATTATGTTTATTATGTTGTTCCTCTTGTTTTTCACCTTTGTCTAAAGACTTCCTGTGATTATTTTTCGTCGTAACATTTTGCGTTTGTGATGTAATCTGTGTACCTATATGTAAACTACCATTTTGTATACCTATTTCTGCAGAGTTATTATTGCTTCCTATAATGTATTTAATAATCAGATTATGCCATGTTTTGTCATATACCGAATCACGTAAATATAGTTACGATATTGAAAAATGAAAATAAATACAAACTACCTCTGCTTTTTTCAGGACTTGGATTGTATTGTGGACATAATTTACTAGATTGTGTTTTAACATGTTGCTCTAACGATGTAGCAACATGTGCTTGTGTTTGAACTTGCTGAATCTGTTGCACTGTACTTTGTTGTTCTAGAGGCAGTGCTTGCTGCAATAATTGTAGATAGAATTCGTTTTCTTTTGCTACATCTTTTTGCTTTCTCTGTCAGAAATAATTTATATATATAAACATTAAGAATATCTTCCTTAAAGTATGGTATCTACTTTAGATTTACCTGTCTCATTCTGTAGCCAATGTAGCTTTTAAAACCAAAACCTAACGTAACTACAGGGTAACCAATGCTGAAATAAACAATATATTACAGTTTACATTAATATATTTTTTGTATTATTATATATAAACAGTACTTTAATGAATGCATTTATTATCATTTATATAAATAAAAAAGCATATATAATAAAAGAGAAGAAATATATACCAGTGTGCTGCAAATGGTCTACAGAGATCCAAATGGAAAGGCATATGCCGTAAATCTCTTAATCGAACTGCTGCTTCTATGTATAGAAATAATAACCATAACATCACAGTAGGTAGGCACACACCTTTGTCTGTTCAAAGTTAATAGTATTTACATTACTTATATTGTTTAAATACAATTAAATCTTTCTTTAACACATTGACTGGTATTTGTACTAACTGAATTCCAACTTACAAGGGTTCAAGACGTTAAGAAATCTCTGGAGCAGTCAATGTGTTATACAATTTAATATAATTGTTTTATATTTACCTGTATGCCAAACATATTGTACCCAAACATAGGTACTAGCAGCAAAAAACAACCAATGTACTGGTATGAAGAAAAAACAAATCATATCTGATGTAAGCGCAATACAAATAAAAAATACAGAGAAGGCCTGAAAATATAATAGATTGCATTATTCTGAATGTAGGCATCATTTACTGCATGAAAAAATTTCTAGCAAGCAGATGTGTAATACTTACCAAGCCTTGATATTTGCAAGAATCGTAAACACTTCTGAGAAGTAACCAAAATGGCCACAAAAATTCAAAACGGAATTCTAAAATGAAGTCTGCCAAAATTACCATGGCCCATAGTAGAAGAAATTTTAGATAAAGCAAAGTACTGAAATAAAACACAATACTGTATTATTATCAGACCTAAAACTTGAGTGTTGGCAATCTGAATGAACAACATAAAAGTTAATTAATTTTATGTACCCATGTAAATGGTTTATAATAATTATAGAATGACAATATCTATATAAGTAACTTTAATATTCTGATACTTCACAATTTTTACTTTATCGCATTATAACTTTGTTTAAGATGAAAGAAAAAGTATTTGAGGTATATATTGCATTAAAACATTTAGTCTAGTTAACAGAAATACAAATTTCATGTATTTAATGCCTAATATTTTTCAGAAAAGAAGTTTGAAACAAAACAATGTCAAATTGTTTCTTTATGTTAGTTTAACATTACGATACTCAAGGGTATGATACTTTACAAGAGTTATAATATAAACTAATTCCAAATAATACATTTGTAAATACAATATTCAAGATATACTAAATGATTAATTCTATGTGATGAAACGTAAATATAAAAATATTTTATTTAACTTGTATTTTGTTTATAATGTCAACATCTAATACAAATTATCCGCCAAAAAGGATATCCGATGAAATATTAAGAGTGTTTATTTACAATAACCAAAACATTAATGAAGAGTTGTAGTAAATGTCCGAAAGTAATGTCAAAATAAGACAGCGTTTTGTTTGAGATTCATTTCATAAAAAATATTATGAATTAAATAAACTTTATACCTTTGTTAACCAGAGTTAAAGTTTTACCATAATACGTACCTTAATTACTTTATCCTTCGTTACAGACAAAGTTACAAAGGGACAAAGTAGAAATTAAGAAATGTTCGAATATTAAAGTTACTCTGTGTATATCAACGCAGCTTCTGGAAAGCGGCCGACAATCTCGCAGTAGCACAGTGCATTGTGGAGTCTGGTACATCTCAGAGACGATCGGAAAATAGAAAAGGTGTTCGGTCGGTAGATTGATGATATACGAAAGAAGGATCACTCGAATTTTTGGTTATTTTTAAAATTAGCCATTCCTATGAGGCATATGGCGGCGAAAATTTACCTTCCGTAGATTCCCTCGGTGAGCTTGTTGCGTTTCAAGGGCCTCCGAAGCTTACCGCACTCGACATTTCTTCTCTTCATATTCCTCGACACTTTCACCACGACTAAACCGACGTTACTCGCGGCGATCAACAGAACGGAAAAAACCGCAAATCTTCTGCGGGCTCGTGAAAAAATCCACTGTCTCGCGCGCGACTTCTATTAGACTCTTTTGTTGTCATTCGTCTGCGGACAGATTCGAGGTTCTACGGCGGTTTACCAAGCAGCTGATTGGTCCATTGTGGGACATGGCGCTAATCAGCAGCAAAAATCACCTGCTGGAATATTTATTCTACAATGTACTTTAAATACAGTACATACGTTCGTTTCGACTATTCAGGAGATAAATCTGTCCGGCGTGTATAGATTTTTTCCATAAGACGAGTCCGGATCATAGGTTTCATCGATTGTGCATGGCTTCGATTGTACCGTAGGTCAATCGACTTGTTTCACTTGCGTTAACAGCGCTCTGACCTGGCAATACATATATGATCCCCTTCCTATCTCCTTCTACCAACCACTCTTTCGATTATAATCTTTTTATTATATTTTATTCTTTTACTCTTTATACGTTAAATACTTGTTGAAGTTATTGGTCTTCTCTGTTATTTTACAATTTACAAATTTCAGTTGCGAAATAACGAGAATCTTTGTAATCGCATTATTGTTTTTTTTTTCTTTTTTTGATCATATAAACAAAATCTGTTTAAAGGAGAACACCACCTTTAGGATCGAGAAAAATACTGATATTTGAGAATTTTCTCTGGTGATATAGAATGTCGAATATAAATATTTCAAATATAGAGTGTTCTTTTAAAGGTTCCTGATTCTATGGATCAAAATAAGATGCTATTCAGGAATAACGAAATTTTGTTTGAGACTGATTTACCTCCTGATTACATTTTAACGATTAGCAAGATTTTTTAGATTAATTGCTTTTTGGACTAATTATTCGAAAACGTTTGTCTGAGCAGTTTTTACAACGTAAAAATTTGAAAGAAATTCTCGTAATATGAATCTCCGATTGGAAAGGTCACCTTTAAAAATCTGGAAAAAATATGACCGCGTCCTATGAAATTTTCTACGTAAAACAACGTTCTTCTTACCATTATTTTATGATCAATTTCATATAATTAGATCTACGTGCTTAGGTATTATACAGACACATTTAACAGCTGTGTATCATACCAATTTTTAAATGTGTAAACTACAATGCATTGCTTCCCATACGGAACAAAATATGGCTGCAACGTTAACAATAACATTGCAGTGTTACAGTTACACGTTCTTAATATTGCAACAACATTACCGTGAAATATTGCCTTGAAGTATTGCGAAAACATTGTGACAATAGTACAGCAACATTGCAGCAATATTAACATGAAATATTATGACAGAATTACAGAAACATTGCACAATATTGCAGGAACGTTGTTTCTGCGCATATGCTCCCTAATGTCAAAAATAACATCATCCAGCATCATCGCTATTGGCCGAAAGAGCCACCATTTTGCCCATTGTAACCAGATCTAGGATTAACAAATATATTCACTGGATAAAAATGACGATTTAAATGATAGAATCACATAATTTACAATGAACAACTAAAAATTTGACTATTCGATAAAATAAATGTTAAGAATAAATTACTATGCGTTGTTTTCATTCGTTATATATTATTGGAGTTAATGATTATAAAATATTTCAGTAAAAATACAATTATTTAACATCAAATTTCCGTATGGTACAAATGTACATATTTCTGTGAAAACCTTTTCATAATATTCTATAATAAATATGTTATTATTAACATTTTCAAATTTTTCAAATTTACATAGAAATAATAAGTACATTATTAATTATGTAAATTAGGAAATTTTATTAATAAGTGAAAATGCTTTGACAGTAAACATAGATTTCTTTTTATTTAAAATCGTACATTGCTTTCAGTTTAAAAATCATGCATCACAGAATCAATTTTTGTACCATGTAGAAGAAATTTTCAGAATATAGAAAGTAAGTTTACGAATCCAAAATTTTCTGTCTTTCATTTCATTTACTTGTCATAAATACCAAAAGATTTAGTAATTGCAACTTACTTTTAGGAAACAGTTAAAAATTCTTTTACAATATGTATTATGTACAATATTTAAGATGTTAATATGACGTTTAACAATAAAGATTCGATATTTCTTACGAAACCAATATAAGGGACAGAGGTCATACCTAATTTAACTATACAGGATGTACATAATATCAGAACACAAAATGCAAATTCATTGAAAGATCAACAGACGTATTATTTCATACGAAATCAAAATATCGAATTTATACATTCAATAAGTGAAATTTGAAATTTACTAATTTTTTTAATAGCTCCTATTACTAGAATGTTTCTGAAGCATGTACAAATTCACCTATATTACAATAATAATAATTACAAATATATCTAAATATGAGCATTACTTAGATATATTTCTACTAGGTATATTACAATATTTGTGGTAGAGGATTCGTGTAATAAATAACAATTTCACGTTATAAGTTACATAATTAATCTTCATCTGTACTTTTCTGGTATACTGCACCGAACTTATTCATATACTTACGTACAAAATCTTTAGCTTTATGTTTAACATTTTCGTTACATTGTAATTCATCAACACTTTTACAGTGTTTTAATTCTTTCGCGAGTACAAAATGTGTAAGCTAAAATAAAAAGAAAACAAGTTTTAATAAAGTAAATATGATGATAATATAGAAGTAAAAATTTGTATATTTGTTTTGTAAATATACCTTTCTTGCAAGATGTTTAAAATCTTCTGTATTAGTTATTCTACCTTGTTTACAATCATTTTTTCTGTAAGGATTTAAAAAGTGTACCATCACGTTTGCCATATTTATCCTAAAAGTATCTTTAATTTTTCTTTCCGACATCGTGGATAAGTCAGTTGAAGGCGATTGTAATTTATTTACGCTATGGCGTGAATGTGATTTGGATTTGTTACTACGTCGATGTCTTCGTAGTTTTTCAACGTGTTCTTTAAACTTTGCTCTTTCCTTTTGTCGCCGTAATTTTTCCTTTATTCCTTTGTGCGTTTTATGATCTATACGATCCTCTTCTCGGCGTGGCTGTAAATGTTCAAAAATCAAAACGTAATAATAAATAGAATTATATAATAAATACATCGCATCTGAAAAAATAACAAAAAGTGAAACGTACACTGATGATTCTTTCTTGAACTAATCCTTCTCTTCTCTTTTTGCTTTCTGGGAAAAGTCCCGAACTTCCAGTTACATTAGGAACACCACTTTTTTTAGGTATAATATGTTTAGAACCATTCAATGATTTTTCTATTAAAGTATTATTAAAATCTATCTCTTCGTTTTTCTGTTCTTCGTTGTTATCCTCCTCAATATCTTCATCATCTTCGTTCGATGAACTAGATTCCTCGCTGGATTCTGAAGATGATGATGAATCTGGTTGAACTCCAATATGATCTGGCGGAGGAGGTAACCATTGTGATATACGTTCCTTCACGTGGTAGTAATATATTCTACCCCTGGTGTCGGTTGCACTTTTCCATTTAGGTGGCAAATCTATAGGAGGTATTTCCGGCTGCGTTGGTTTAAATGGTTTTGTATGAAACTGTTGATCTGATTGCTTTTCAACGTGATCATAGAGAGGCTGAGTTTGAATTGTAACCGGAGGTGTTCCACCATGAACCAAGTTATTCGAAAGTGATAATTGACTTTCGGGATATTGTTGGTGACAATGAGGTAGTAAAGAATACGCTGTTGTTGTTTGATTGAACACAGATGTTTGGCTTAATGTGTATACTACCGGAGGTACACCTGAAGGTATGGTACTTGACATACCAGGTGATATTTCAGAAGGAATTGATGGTGGAAGGACATGTGAATTTTGTGGCCCTATCCCAGATTGAGAATGGCCAGGTACCGGTTGAGGTCCTCCTACATACACAGGAGTACATTGTTGACTTATTTCTCCATCTAAAATAAAACAAATAATATAAAAAAACAGTATTATATAAACAAAAAGGAAACGTAAGAAATAAATACCTTGTGTAGGATAATGTTGCCATTGCCCAAGCGAGTGATTATAAAAAACAGGATATCCTGTTTGTGGATCTACCATAGCAGTCGTGTGAGGATCTATACCTAATGCCAGACACCTAGTTTCATGATCTTGCCATGATTCTTGTTGCTGGCGACGTTGTCGCTCTTCCTCCTCCTTAGCAACTTTTAAGGCAAATAATTGTCTGCGTTCATACTTTGTCATTCGCGGAATTGGAACCAAGCTACTTCTTTCTTCTGTTCTTTTATCTTTTGTTCGAGTATACTCAGATTCTGGAGATTCTCGGCCTCGTCTTCTATCTCCACGTTTCTCTGGTTCATTTCTTCCATATCTGTCAGATCTATGTCTATAAGATAATATAAATGTATAATCATAATTTAGTGATAATAATAATAATTATTATTATTTAACTGTGAACTACAAAATGTTTATTAATTGCCATATTTATCTCTATTATTTTAATATGGATTAAATATTAGAATCATACCTATCATATGATGTTCCTCTTTTTTCTTCTTTTTCTAATTCTTCTCTATACCCGCGATCTATGAAAGGTCACGCATTAATTGAATTTTAAGTTTAAGAATTATATACCACATATTAGTAAATAATTCAACATTGTTACCTGCTTCCCTTTCATGCTCTTTCATTTGTTCAATTCTTTCCTTTTTTGGTATTCGAAAAACTTCTTTCAAATTTGACCACTCAGCTAAAAGTGTTGAAGCTAGGTCAGGTATCAGATTTTGATCTGCGTTATCTGATTTTATTTCGGTGATTCCTATACAGTTTTCAATATTACTCTCCTGTTTGTCTACAATGTTCAATTGATAAGAGCCCTTTTTCTCATTGGTATCATCATTGATTTGCATTTCTTCACAATTTGATTTTAATTTTCCTTGGTCATCTTCTGGAGAATCACCATTTGGAGAAAAATACAAACGTTTGGACCATTTTTCAACCACGTCAAAAATTTTACTGTCCATTAACATTGTTTTATTGGGGATTGGAAGTGTGTTTAGAGTTTTCAGGACTTCTAGTCGAAATTGTTGTGCTTCGTCGGAATCATTTGTAGAAATATCCATAACATAACTCCAAATTAAACGTAAACCATGGTAATCCAAAAATAATCTTCGACACGGCTGCTCACCGCTTTGTATAAGACGTAAAAGACGTGTTCTGTGTTCTAATTCCCTACTACGTACCATTAATCGACTCAATGTTAACGTATGAACTCTATTTTTTAATCCACCTGAGCACAATTTATCTATTTCTTCTTCCAACTGAAACAATGTATAAAAGTAATATAAAAAGTCGAGTAAAAATATAAAATTATCAAAAGCTTACATCTTCATCTTCCATATAATCAGTCTGTTTCTTTTCTCCCTTCTTTTTTCGCATGTCTTTCTCTCGTTTCTCTTTTTTCTCAGTTTTCTCCTTTTCTTCTTCTGGTGTGTCGCCGATCCAACCACGGCAATTGGGTGCTTCGCAGAAACATTTCTGCGCCTCTTTACTAATTTTGTAATAAAATTCATAGCGTAAGTAATATAATTATTATAGTTTTAAGTACGAGGTGCAATCAAAAAGTTCACAGATTAAATTTGTAAAAACAGAAGGATGTTGATTGTACCTCGTATATCAAAATACTAGCATACGAACCCATAACGTTGAAAGTGATAATCAAACGTAATTTCCTCACCAGCGGCTATAAATTTTTTATTAAAAAAGCCTATCCTCAATTCACCATTCACTGTCCACTGCATATATTAAAAAATTAACAGCTGTTAAAGTGTACATCATTTACAATATGTTTTTACTAGTTACACTTACTTTTTGTGTTTCAGAATTCGGATCACAACTGTGATTTATAAATCGAGAAACATTTCCTTTCATAGTAGCATCGATAATTTGATCAGACTTTAATGCCATAAAGTAATAATGTCTATTCTTATCCTTCGAATATTCTTTTGCTCTACGTCGAAAATCTTTTGGATCAACTACTTCACCTACATATTCCATTATAAATTCCCCCCTAATAATTAGAAATTAAATTCATCAATATGTAGTCATGAGTTATTATTTTAATTATATTTAAGGCTACTTACGCTAATAGGTCGACTATGGCACGTAAACCAAATCCTTTCTTTTCTGTTCTAAATACTTCACATTTTGCATATTCACAATTTTGAAATCTTTTGTTTGTACATCGGTCACCTACCACACATCGAGGACCGCTAGAATTTTTATTACATATTATGAAATTTCATTTGAGGCTTACAACAGCTAACATAATATAAAATACAAAAAAAAAAAAAAAATATATATATATACCATTCTATCATAAGAAGTCTATTGAGACAATCTTCTCCGCAACCTAGTTCTCCTCTTTCAATTTCTTCTCCCGTTAAAAAGCAATCGCATACCATTCGTTTAGTTTCTTTATTTGTATACCTGAAAAAGTTATTACTATCTATATCAAAGTTTCATAGGAATAATTTTGTTTTTGTTTTATCTGTTGTACCTCTCTGTCAAATACAGATTTTCAGCCAAATGTTCGAACTGGCTCAAACGTTCTTCCATTTCTCTATCTTCTATTTCGGGAACCATAGGTAATGAAATTTTTGAACCAACAGTTCTTGGAATCTGTACACTATTGTTACTGTTAGCCACTACAGATTGTTCTTTCGCTTGTTCTGTTTCTGTGTTGGACTGAACAGTTGTAACTGTTGATGTAGATGCAGATCCAGAATCTGAAGAACCAACATCTGTTAGAGCTCCAGGTGCAGACTTAACTGTTACCAATCCTGATTCAAGCGTATTCGTAGGTATGATTCCAAATGTAGATCCAACCGACGATGTAGATCCAAATCCTGTACTAGATCCCCCCATTTCAAGTTCGCTTGATCTTCGCCATCGTGATTTTACTTTAACAGGTTTACAAGAGTCTGAGTCATAACCTGTAGCATTGCAAGTAGTTGCTAGTGGTGTAAATGAATCAAATGTATTTCCAGCCTTATTAACATTGTTCTCTTTATCTGATTGTGGTTCTAGTGGATTCTCCACTTTTACATCTTGAGCAATTAAAAGAGTGTTAGATATTTTCTCTCGTTCTTGTTGAATACTTGATTTTGAAATTTCTATATTAGGTTTTGTAACTAAGCCACGTCCACGAGACCTATAAAATAATATTAAAACAAGTTTTGATCTCATGTTGTATTCTTTAAGGGCATACACAAACTGTGGATAACTTTTTATATATTTGAGCATCATAGTACATACCTTTGTTTCATTAAACCGATTGATCTAATTCTACTGCTTCTCCTCACACCAGAACTGTTTGATCCACTTTCGGAACCTGTCGTATCAGTACTACCGCTTCGACTTCTAAATTCGACCCGTTTATCAATATCGTTTGAGTTACTGTTACATTTTGTTTCAAATTCTGTGAGTTTACAATTACTCAAAGACAACAACATGTCGTTACTATTATCACTACTGCTGGATAATTTTGTATCTTCTCCATCAATTTTATTATCCGCTTCGTTGTCACCATACAATTCATTAATCTTTTGCTGAGTTTTGACCTTTTTATCTTGTAATATTTTTGATTTTAATAAATGCTGATCAGCACAATCTACTTTATCTTCTCCTGAAGTGGATTTGGTTTGTTCTATTATATTTTTGTCTATGTTATCAAACAAAGAAGCAGAATTGTTTGAATGATGCAACTGTTCTATTTTATCCAATATTGATGAACTATTTTCATCATCAAGACTCATTGGCATCACTTTCTCTACATTCATTGCAATCTGCAATGTAGATGTTACACTTTCTACATTGGATAAATCGTTAACTAATTTTTGTATTTCTTTTGAAGTTTCGCTAATTTGCATATCTGCTAATTTGTTGTCTATTCTGCAAAATCCATCATCCTTAGACAGAATTTCTTCTGGCTTTCTTGTGGACTCATTTCTATCCATGTGCAAATCTTTTTGATTGCTAGGTGCTGTTTTGTGATGAGCATATAATTCTTCTAAATTAGTTGATTTATCATCTTTATTGTTAGAAGTCATTGGCACATCTATGCATGAGGCTGATATAGAATTCTCAGTTTCAGATCTACTTAAATTATAAATATCTTTTAGCATGGCGCAGTATTCTGTATTAGATGTGCTTCTCGAATCAGATGCTACTACCATGGATTCTATACCACCCTTATTTTGTATCACAGTAAATTCAACAAAATTTTTTCTTTCTAATGCAGAAGAATCGCTTATCAGCAACACTTCTTTTACCATCATATCATCTCCTTGTTTCAAATTATAACTATTACTTTTAACATCTTTAACCTCCACCTCTTCACAAATTATAGTTTCTTCTACAACATCTTCCGGCCATATTTCAATTTCAGTAGAGTCAGGTTCGGTTACGACTTCCTTAATTGAATTACCAACAACTACATTTTGGACATCTTCAGGACTAAGTTTTTCGGAGTGCTCAATTATAATGTCTATCCCATCCTGACTGTCACTTTCACTAGTATCCTTTTTATATTGTGATGTTGAATATTCACTTTCATGATTGATTTCAAGCAAATCACTGTTAGGAACATTTTTAAGCTTGTTATGTTTCCTTAAAGAATTTTGATTCTTTTTCGGAAGTGCTTGGTTCTGGTACTCTCCAGTACTTTTACCATCTTCTATGTCATTTGTGTAAGGTAGTTGTAAAATGTCTCCATTAACTTTCTTCTCTTCTAGTTGCTTTTTGGCTATTTGCCTACTAGATTTTCGGACAGGTACATACTTAAGGGATGATTTCACAGATGTTTTCATTTCAGTTCTACGTCTGCGAGCCATTTTGTTTCCATATATTCTACTACTCTGTAATATTTATGGAAAATAATATACTGTAAAATCAAGTTAATTTTGTTTTAATGCTACTGAGTTTTGTTCATCTATTGGCAATAGGATTAATCGCTTCATTAAAACAAAAACCACCAATTGTTCCAAATTAAGTAAAGAGTGTAATTCTCATTAGCATCATGCTTTCAATTACTAGGCAGAGTATGTAAAATTAATTAAAGGCTAATGTTAATTTACAATTTTCAATGTAATTTGTCAACTACAATAGCACTGCAATTATTGTAGTGATAGATTGTTAAAAATTACTCTACCTTTTTTTTTCAGATGTATCTTACTACAACATGTTTAAATAAACTTTTGTAAGTTATATAGAGTAAAATCAGCAAGGACTCACCATATGCCTGTAAAATGATGTCTCGTACGTTTATGATGATCATTGTTTGAGATATTTCATCTATATTTTTTAATAAACAAACACTTTTTTATATTCCTCAGTTTTTCTGCAAAAACACAAACGTAATCGACTTCTTACAAAACATTGCAACGACGATTAAACGAATTAAAACTAGTTCAGTTTGAACTTTATTGCTAAGTTTGGCGCTCCAATAATGTACAATTATGCATTAGACATTGATAGAAGTTTTGATCAATATAGATACCTTTTTTCAGTCTTGACCGTTTCACTTTGGGTTGATCAACTTTTACACAAATTGAACGAGAATTCTATTGCAATTAATACTTCTCGAGTCAACTCATGATTTGTTTAGACAAACATTAATCACCTGAATGAACGCATCACGAAGAAGTGCAAAGGATGTGTGATACTTGAACGATAAAGTGTGTATTTCAAGCGCGTACGTGTTGCCACTGAACATTGCTTGTGTGGTAATACCGACTGTGAGAGACATAAAGCTGACGCTTTAGTAATATCACTAAACGGTTTCTTGTTACAAAATTATTGGTTTCGATGTGTGAAACATTATTAAGTCGATGAAAATAATGTATTAAAGACCTGGAAGATATCGATACATCTTTAATCGCGGCAATGAACACTTACTACAGTCCGTTCCATAGACGGTAAAGTGAATCTAAATAAAACCACGTGATCACGGCAGGGTCAACATGGCAGGAGGCAGAAACCAATAAGAAATTTCATTTTATTGTTTATTTCCTGAATTGTCCTAAATATACAAGATGTCCCAAAAATGTTGTAACACCTTGAAAGAGGTGGTTCGGGAGGTGATTTGAAACAACTTTTTCCTTAGCGAAAATGTTGTCCGAGGTTTCGTTAAGGAGATATTAAGCGAAAACCCCGACCAATCAGAGCGCGAGTATGCCGGTTGAGCGTAGGCTACGCGATAGGCGGCCGCGCTCATACGCTACCGCGGGCGCTTCAACGGTATACGCGCGCTCTGATTGGTCAGTGTTTTCCGTTAATATCTCTTCAACGAAGCCTCGGACAACATTTTCGCTAAGGAAAAAGTTGTTTCACATCACCTTTCGAACCACCCCTTTCAAGGTGTTACAACATTTTTGGAACCTAGTCGGAAACCTTTGGGTGGATCCAGGAGACCACCGCTTAGTAAGCCGCTTTGTAAGCGTTCAGTACTTCGCTCATGGCGGCCGCTCTCTGTTGCTCCCTGTTAGCAGCCGATAGCGTCTATCGACTGTAACTTGTCAAATAAAATTACCAGTATTCGAAAGTTTATTAAGTAATTCCAAATAACAGTCATTTTTTAAGAATAATAGAAGCACTGGTTGCTGAATTTTTGCAGATGTATATCTCCCTCACGTTTTGTCGACTATTGCACAAAGAAAAACTACACAAGGTACAGAGTAAAGCGTGGGAATATTTGAAATATGACATCGAGAGGAAGAATATTCAGAATTATATCTAAAAATTGAGTGCATAAGATGAATAAAATATACCCTAAAAATGTACATAACGATTTTAAACATAATAAATAAAATACTTGTAAAATATACGTCGCTATTTTTTTTCAATTTTGGCTGTCCGATGTTTGTCTACACCATTTTTCACTTTCGCTGTTTATAATGTGTTATAATGTACAATTGAAATAACTTTAACCCACACTTTGAATTAATCATATTCGACGATATATATCTACTCTACCAAATCAACAGTCAATTAGAATTAGGATGTTTTGATTGATTGAGTTCAAGATTAAAATTCATAAATATGTAATATTTAGAGACCATTTAGTCATCCCTATGTATATTTCAATATTCATGGCGGCGCTATAAACGTGGCTTCTACTAACTTATAACACGTGAGATTGTGTCCCTGGATATGACTTCGTGACTTGCCGAGTTGAGTTGAGGTTCGTTTTCTAAGGTTATGCGTATGTTTATAACGGATCAAGGTTATTGTTAATGTTCAATATTGTTAGAACTAAAAGAAAATCACGGATTTGATATCTATGTAGAATCATGGGAAAACAATTCTAAGTTTCCTTTTTCTTCTTAACATTAGTAGTCAATGGTGGAAGTTAAACATAAATCGTGCTGTTTTTCATTAATTACGCAGTACAATTCGTTGTCAATGAGTAACCCGAGTTGTTTGCATATCTCATCTTTCATGTGTCCTGGTCATATTGAATAGAAATTCTTTTTATTTGTAAAGAAACAGAAAGATCAAGCATGTCTGCATCACCAATTGCAAGGCAAGCTACTCAAAGCCAAAGTATACCTTTGAAGAAAATTGTGTTCAATGATCCCAGTCAGTTACCCGCTGATTATTCATCCACTCCTGGTGGAACTCTTTTTTCGACTACACCTGGAGGTCAGTGTCTCTTTTCACTAATATAACTTTTTCCAGTAATACAATTAGCATGATACTTTGTATTTGCATAAGTAACATTCATGGATCATTCATACACAACCTATCCCAATTGTTGCATTAATCAATTAATATACTAACTAATTAAAATTACACAAGTGTGACATTATTATGGAAAAATTTTGACAGTTAATCTATAATTTAACCCTTTGCACTCTGTTGATGTTGTTACAGTACATGCATAGTTGATGTATAGACTTTGTTGTTTGTATGACAGTTGTCGTATGGAGTGTAAAGGGTTAAAAATATAATATTAAAAAGATACATAATTTTAAGAACTCTTAGTTGATATAGTAAATGTGGGACTAAAAATGAGTGTCATAAGTGAGGTATAACAGAAATGTATTATTTCTGTACATTTTACAGAGGACTTACAAACATTTTTTATTATAAAATCAATTCTTATGAAATTGATATAGCTTTTTTTGAATATTTAACCATATTTTTCATGTGATTTTTTAACATAGTTCTATGAATATCTTGTACATTTAATTAAGTAATTTCTTTACCAAATTCCTGAAATCTATCATGGCTTGAGTTCTTGTAGTTAGAACTATTAGAGATTTCTAAGTATAAACTATGTAATTTTGAGAAATGATGCCAATATTTTGCCAACACTGTATGTAACATATTGTTTCTATCTGCCAGATGCGTCCTTGAATTTCTAATGAAGTTAAATGCAATGCTGCTAAAATATTGGCATTGTTTTCTAAAAGAATGAAGTTGATGCTAAAAATTCTAATAGTTTTGACTGCAGAATTATCAGTTAAAACTATTAAAAGCCTTAGTTTTTAGAGCTTGAAAGTTTTATTGAGTATTCATGGATTTCCAGTTGAATTGGAAATATAAATATTCAATGTTTACTTTGATAGAAAAGATACAGTATGTTTAGACTGTGACATAATATGGTTAAATTAGTGTAAAATATTAGTTACACATTTTATAACTACTATTACAATAATTTCATAAAAGCTGCAGACAAAAGGAGATAAGGAAACTTCTAATGAAATCACATATTGATTTGTGTTGGTAAGTACATGTTCCACTTTTATCAAGTTTTGAAAAGAATGATGGATTTAAAAAACTTGATTTATCGTTCATATAACTATTTAAATACTACAAGTGTATAGAATAATATCCTAATTATATTAGCAGACTATTTAAATTACCTCTTCAATTATTTAAATACACAAAACTTTAACAAGTACCGAGCCATAGGTGTGAAAAGTTTTACCATAATTACAACTTTATAATTAAATCCTAATTCGGATTATACTATATAATTTCAGTAGCCTATAAGTAGTAGTAGGAGAAAGTATCAAAATTATAACAGTGCTCAAATAAGGATTAATGTTGTACAATGTTGGGATCTTTTAGATTCCATGATTTATGTTACTTTATAGGAGATCTAGGTATACTGAGCACCATGCAATTTGTTCTCGCATCCAATACACAAGATTGAAATATAAATATATTAGAACATTTAACAAATTATCATTATTAACAATATAATCATCAATAAATTAACAATTTGGTAAAGAAGTGCTGTTAAAAAATCATACATAGAAAAATATATAGAATTTTAATAATTGTATTAGTACTTGTATATTATTATAAAAATAAACCAACCATCAACACAATTTATATAAATTGTACAGGTACCCGCATAGTTTATGAACGTGATTTCTTGATGAATTTACAAAATTCTCCTATATCTCGAACACCACCTCAAAATATATCATCTATACCCACGGAAATATTGAAGAATTCATCTGCAGTTAGTACAACACCTGCAAAAACTCACATTAATAGAGGTCAGTGATTGCTTAGTTAATACAGTGAACAGATTCTACATTACATTCTAAATTATTTAATGTTCCACTATCCAGTCTATTTAATTTTTATTTCTCTTTGTATTTGTTTGGCTAAATTTTTTATCTATATGTTTAACACACGCTAATATTGTCTACTTATTTATATTTATTCTATGGAATATTATTTATATTTATTATATTTGTATTTATTCTATGGAAGTATTTATTTCAAAAAGCATATTTTAACACATTTGCTGTCTTGTTGGTTACCAATAGCTACAATTGTATTCTAATAAGCATTTCATTTAATATTACTTTATCTTGAATATTAACAAAAACAATCAACACGTAATAGCAGATGTGTTAAAAATAATTACTAAAAAAACATATCTAATATAATTTTGCTTATATAAATACATTACAGATACTTCAATAATTGAGGAATCTGCGGAACAGTTTGAGATGGATATGTAAAATAATCTGTAATTACAATGTGTTTGCATTGCAACAGCCATTTATATGAATAGTAATAATCGGTGCATCACAGGAAAACGTATTAGTAATGTATCTTTTTGTATAAATATATCATTGGAGATCTTAGTGATATAAGTCTTTGTACAATTTCATTTGGAAATATTAAATATAATGAAATAATTGTATTAATCTGTCATATTTATTTCCTTCATTTTATTTGATTAAGGTAGGTGTAGTGTTCTTATTTCTTCAAAGAAAGAATTAAATGTCGAGGTTACTTCTGTTTGAGGTTAACTTCGTTAAATATTATTTTGAGGTTAACTTTGATAATATTAAATATTATAAGTTACGCATTGGTTAAAATTTGGTGGAGATTTACTTCTAGATAGTAATTTTTTAAATAATTGGTAAAAATGTAACAGTAACAATTAATATGTCTTTTCCCGCTTTCATTGAATTTATCAATCAAGTATTGTTTAGTAATGACCGAAACGGTTCAAAATGGCGGCCATGGCGGCTTTTTCGATATATTGTATATTATTCTGTACACGAGTTGCGCAAAACTTTTTTTCCTCGAACTTAATTAAGAAAGATAAATGTTTTCCTATCAATTTTTTGTACAGTTTGGAAATTATTTTTGTGTTATAATAAACTATTTAGAAAAAATACTTCAATTATTGCTGCGCTTTAGACTGTATCGTATCTTGTGCTATTTTTCCTTTATCTATGCTAACAGCCAAGGTCTGGGTGAATGAAGCGATTGAGTAACTCGTTAATTATTTAGTAAACTTCCGTACATTGGCAATTTTACTTGTAAGACTATGGTAAATACTTTTTTTATAATTCTTTTTTTTTTCTAATTCCGCCAAGTAGTAGTCAACACTACGCTGCAATCGTAAAACTATTAATTTATATTTCCACATAAAATCATATTAGACAGGTATTTTATCGTTATACTCATTTTTATGAATAATGTGTGTTTTAACGCAGCTTGTGATTTATAGTAACTAAACCAGGGTACGATGTCAATGATTCTATTTCGAAATAAAGTTGCATCGATTGATACGCGTACTTTAAGATTTTGTAGCGTATGGTCTATAAATAAGTATAAGTATTATAATAACATTAACCACATTGTGTAGTACACATGAACATTTAATGAATATTTTAATTCTGATATATAGGGTGTCCCAAGACAACTGCCATTTAATTGCGAGACATATAACGAACTTCCTTGAAATCTTACATTTCAAAGTAGAAGACAGTAACAACGAAAGCTACTCGCATAAACCAATGTCAATGTATTTCTATTCTCTTGTGACCTTGAATTGTGTCAAGGCCGCATTGTGTTAAGTGATTAAATTTGTCTTTGTACATGCTTTGACATTGTCTAAACAAATGACTATTGAAGAAAGTAAATTTGTATTGTACATTGCAATAAATTGTAGTTTCCTATTGAGTTTATGTTGGGAAATTGTAATGCTGATGTAGCAGGCGATACTGATGTACGTTTCTGTTTTGTATGCTGCGCGTTTTTGTGAATAAATATGTATGATAAATTGTGACAAACGTAATAAAATTTATTCGAAAATTGAACATGAAATAAAGAATATTTTTAATCGACCCTATTCAATAATTAAAAATCACAAGTCCGTGAGAAAAAAACAGTATACGTACTCCTATTTTTTTCTCCCTTTTTTCAGGCTGTTTGTTTACCTTTTGAGATTGCACTATATAGAAAGTTTATTTATTATTTATACACCTACTTTACTTATACAAGTGCTTCTTATCGCGTTCTGTTTACACACTCTATTTCTATGAAATATAAGCTCATATCTTTTTGTACACGTGATATTATTTTGTTTGTCTTTCCCTTTGAATGGAAATCTTCAAAGAAACGTAAACTTTTGACAAATTCGCGCTTGAGTGAGTTTATCCTGTACAATCCCTAACGAAGTTCGCTAGACTTATAATTTTATAAGTGAAACTGCTAACATATCGAATAAATGTTTACAAAACAAACGAACCTTTGGTTTCATTAATTTAGTTTTCGATAAGTCAACTAGCACAAGGGCAAGCGTTGTTTGACGCGAAGCTGTAACGTTGGGTAATGAATTTATACGTATACCGATTTACTTATTGCCCTGTGTGGTAACGATGATTACAATCGTTGAGTTGCCAAAAATCCACCCCCCTCCCTAGGTCGTTTCTTTCCTACGTTGACGAGGAGAGGGGCACTCTTTTACTTAAGGGGGAAGCCAAGGAAAATCTTATAAGCTAAAATAAAAGCGAAACAAGGCAGGGTTCGCGAGCGCTTTTTTTTTCAGTCTAAAGAGGTACTTAGAGGAGTGGCCATCGTATCACAGGTATCTTTACGTCTATCAAAACGTTAAACAAAAAAATGTTCTCGTCTAATCTAAATAGTGTGGTTCCAAATAATTTAGTGCGTTTTGGTTTTGACAAGTTCTACGTTTCAAGTGACAGTGGATATATTGTGATTACTTGAGAGTGAGAGGGTAATTTTGTAATTAATGTAAATAAGAAAAAAAAAAAAGAAAAAAAAATGGCAAAAGTTTCTTGGAGTCCGTTGTACGATACAACGTTGATTATTTACATGTTAATATTAGGCAGACACACCACTTTCGTCAAATGGGTTCGTTTGAAGTTGACGGGGACGAAAATAAAACGGTCAAACGTTTGAAGAGCACACATACTCAGTGTTACCGAACGCAGTTAGATATCCTATCGATACGAGGATACTATATAAGTTTGAAAAAAATTTTAATCGTTTTTCGAACATTGTACTACTGCTGGTAACTGATGAGAAACTCGAATAACCAGATACAATAAATTTTGTTATATTGTACTTATATCAAACGTGTTATACAGGATCCAAACGTATATTTCAAGAGTTCAAGTTCGCAAATTTCCTGGTTAACGCGTACCGCGCAACCTCGGTGACCTCTACAGGCCTTCGAGTACCGGCAATCTAAGTCCTTCTGTTCGTACAGAAAGCATTCTATCGCTACAAATACTAATTGATGTCACAATCAAACAGTTTGTTGTGCCTTCGTCTGACCCGTTTCTTCCTCGTTAAATATATCTCATTAGCTAAATATACAAATCGAGAGTACCAGCTGAGATATCCACTTAAAGAAACGTGTTGCAGATTGATTATTATATAAAATATATACGAACGAACTATAGACAAACATTATGCTGCGTTTATAGAAACAATCGCAAGTTGTTGAAAATACTTTGACGTCGTGATTGTATTTTTTCGACAATGTTCTTGATACTAACAGAATTTTAATTTATAAAAGGAATTAAGTTTGAGATGACGTTAGAGCGATAAAGATTACTTCAGAGTAGAGAGATAAAGATCACACAAGAATACTAGTACGGGTGTTACTTTGCCATGTGTTTCAGGCCAAGTTTACTTCTGGATTTGTGAAATATGTGGGCCGACGATGAAGCAGCACCATGGGATATGGGGGATGATACCACGCAGGAGCAACCAGCGGACGGAGAGGCAGCTGGAGAAGGAGCTCCTGCTGACGGTGCGGCTGCTCCAGAAAAGCCGAAACTAACGTTGCTGAAACTTGAACCACCGCATTACAATCATCACTGGGTCCGCCCCCTCTTTCTTAATTACGCATATCTTTATGATTACAGGTGAGTTCAATCGAAGATTATTCTGTAATTAACGATTTCTTAAAACGTGAAAATACGGAACGATTGGGAATTCCCGAATTAGTCTGAATCTGCACAATTTAAAAAAATTAAAGATACAGTTGAAACCAAATTATTACTAAAATATATAAAAGCATTGTTTAACTTCTAATAAAGAATTATATTTACCAGTTGCAATAGTGATTTTTATTTTGATCTCTTACATTTTATTTAAATCTTAATTTTATTGCAAAAAAAAAAAATGATTAAAAACAAATCTTTCATCCTTAAAATTTTATCATATCTTTCTATAAATGTCTTAAAAAATGACTGTCACGAGTCCTGGAAATAAATAAACAAAAAGGTATATAACTCTTTTGTTGAAATGAAGTCAGGTCCAGAATTTTATTTTTGTAAAAATGAATGTAAATGTTAAACTTTGAATTAAGTTCACAGTTCTGATTGCCACGATAACCGTTTTCATTTTTTCTGCAGGAAGAATTACTACGACGACGTGATTGATTATCTGAACCAAAGGCAAAGGGGCATATTCCGTGAGCCTCCCAGAGCTCAAGAATGGGCTGAACGAGCAATGAGAACCTACGACGAGAAGAACCTCGACAAGAGTCACAAACGATCTGCAGACATGAAGACTATAATTAATATGAGACACGAACCTAGATATTACAGTTACCACACTCGGGCCTATTACAGTTTGAAGTACCAGAAGATCCTCTGAATTTATTATTTTGATAACAAAGTACGACCCGGTATTAAAATAATTGTCATTCGCGGCATAGATATAGATTTCGTTGCGGCATATTTATATACGTGGCTTGTAACAACTTTGCTAGTGTTGATTAATGTTTTTGTAAGCGTGTTCACCTACTACGAATTCTATTCGTTAATTGTTCTCTACCCAACTGTTCACACCATAAGCATAAACTAGCAGAAAATTTCACATGTATAAATTGCCACTTATATTTAATTTTACAAAGATATTAAATTCCTTGTGAACTGATATGTAAGTAAACGTTTTATAATAATTGTTATTCTTTTGATCAGTCTTTATTCGACGCAACCATGTGATTTTTTAGAGATAGACAGTGATAGCTGTGATGTACTTGTATATGCTCTAAACCTCAATGCATATTGTATGTATACTGCCGCTGAAGCATTCTCAAATACATTGATATTATCAAACATCACGTTAAAACTGTTTCTTTGAATGTTCTCCTAAGACCAGGTGTATGTTCCTATGTTAGAGTAATTGTGAAGACATAAATTTCATATAACTGGAAATGTAGGGAATACATTAGAATGATTAGAAATATGTATATTTCTCGACATACATTTAGTTCGCATTTTTACCGATTGTGTCCTGATTCTTGCGTCCTGTTTTACCAACTGCGAAAACAACTGAATGTTCTACTATAGCGCACTCTACATCTGAGAACGGTAACTCAGATCGAAGACTCAATTCTCTGAGATAATATGAAATGATCGAGATATTTATGTAAAATGAATATCCTGATTTTGTAACAATAAAACTTGTGTTCAATATGTAAATATATTTACCTTAGTTATTTAAAGAACAGCAATGTTTTGAGGTTTTTCTTGATTTAAAATGACGGCGAGCTTTGTCCTCTTGACAACCGCAATTAGTTTCTTAAAGTATTCGACGAGATGACACTTTTATAACACGACACTGTCCACGCTGAAGGGTGAAGTTTGACTGATGTCCTGCGAGACAAGTGATCTGTATTGTAATTAACATAGGACACAAAAGAGCTGATAATGTTGTCGTAATAAGTAATTTATCGGTTTAGTGTGTAACTACGTGAAAGCAGAAGTGACTGGAAGTCGATTGTAAACATCTATCGCAGTTGGTAAGGTTAGTAAACATCAACATACTTGTCTCTTGCTGTTATATCAACGAAAGAAAAGAAAAGAATCTCGGAAATTATGTACGTAAACGCAGACAAAGGTAATAAAAATTGCGTTTTATAATATGCGAGATATTTTTCACAAGTGAAAATACATTTCCATATTGCACAATCGTATTATTCCAAAAGTCAAACTATCGATTCATATCGATTGATTCTCTAACTCTAACGGAATACGAAAAGGATAGAAATAATAAGTCGTGGAAAAAATAAATCTTATTTTGAGACTTTTGTCCTTATTTTTCATTTCATAGCTTTAATCGATGGAAATGTGATTAAAATAATTTGATTCGACTCAAGAGTAATAATAATTCGGTTAAAGAACAGGTTGCCAACTCTTGCTCTAGAACTACAGACAAGAGGAAAAGTAAATAACGTTTTCGTTCTCCTTTGACGTAAATTGCTAACGCAAAAGTATTATTGTATTTCATATCATCGAACTGTATAAGCATCTTGTGGTATCTATCTATAATATTTATACCATTAATAATTCTTACACGAATTCCAATGGTGAGAAACGACGTTCGCCACCGATTCTCATTACATGGAAGTAAAATACAACAACTAAGGAATCGAAAATTGCACTGGCTGAATCGCGTGTAACGTTCCATAGACGAAACCAGCGAACATATTATGTATAATCACGTGCAAATTATATTAATATCATTACCGTCGCGATGTTTACCAATTGTTATTGATCCTCGCAACTATTCGCTTACGTGGAGATATATATATATATATGTATATGTGTACATGTAATATAGGTATATTGTCTGACATTTAAACATAGACAAATCAGCGTGGGTCCTCTATTTGAAGGCTTACTCGTTGAAAAAATACTGCATTCTGTGATATGAAACTCGATTGGAATACGACGCGACTTGTTTCCTTTCTTTTTAGCGACGTTGTATCAGATATCTCAGGCTTCCACGGCCCTGTTCGCGATTGATACTAACCGAGCCTTCCAGGTGTGCTTTGGATAAAATAATTCAAAGGTAGCTTTGCAATTATCATGAAATTATATACTTTTCATCATAATACAAGTGCTTTCGGAATGAACTGTGGTGGGGGTGGCCGAGGAGGGAGTGCGAGAAAGGGGAGGAAAGGAAGGGAGCGTTTTTCGTACTGGGCCTAGTATACTAGGTGTTCCAAAAATGTTGTAACACCTTGAAAGGGGTGATTCGGGAGGTGATTTGAAACAACTCTTTCCTTAGCGAAAATGTTGTCTGAGGCTTCGTTAAGCAGATATTAACGGAAAACACTGACCAATCAGAGCGCGAGGATGCCGATGGAGCGCTCGCGGTAGCGTAGCTACGCCGCTAGCCGGCTGCGCGCTCCCCGACCAATCAGAGCGCGAGTATGCCAATAGAGTGCCCGCTGATTGGTCGGGGTTTTCTGTTAATAACTCCTTAACGAAGCCTCGGACAACATTTTTGCTAAGGAAAAAGTTGTTTCAAATCACCTCCCGAATCACCCCTTTCAAGGTGTTACAACATTTTTGGGACACCCTGTATACCTTTGAAGGGACGCCAATATTACTAAAGTCGGCCCTGGTGTCACCACAGAACTAAGAATACAATTATAGCGCTAAGTGTTACGGTATTTGCGCTCATGTTATAGTTCATTGACTATGTCACCATGTTCGTGCCACAGATTGTTCCGCTGAACAATCGCAGGTAATTCAAATAATATTCTGCGTTCCTACTGATGTCATCAGGGTGTTCCAAGACTTTTAAAGATTCCCAATATTTTCTGCGAATTATCCTTCGTTTTTAACTATTAATTTTGTATTATTAGAAGGTATCGAAAGCCTCGGTTAGTGTCGACGTTATACAATGTAATATTTTAAATCGTATCGCTCGTACGACGCATAGCCATTGATAACGCTAAAGGGAAGCATAAGCTTGAAGATAACATGGTGAAATATTACTTTCCGAAAAGGAGTTTGTGTTCCGAAAAATATGAAACGCATTTATTTGAACGATGTAGAGGCACTCGAATCAGCTACACTGTTGTCTATCTTTTTTTCTTTTTCTTTCGTTTTAGAAACCAGACCCATGTCTTCGAGCTTATACTCTGAATCTCGTTTACGCGGCGTAAATACTCTAAAGAGATATATTTGCCAACGGATGCATTTAACGACATTGTGATAATTGACTATCGGATTGTGTTATGCGCATCTACAACGTAAAACATAATTGTGACGCGAAAACGTTAATCGTAGAGTGAAAGAAAAGTTTTCCCTTCTTTTGCAACGGATGCTTAAATGAAATAACGGTATTGAAGTTTTATGTTACATGTAGCATTTTGTAGCTCTTGAATCGCTCTTTTAATTCGTATATCAACTACTACTGAACGATTGTATACTTTTGATTTTATCAGTTTAGAAAAATCAAATTGACGCTCAAGAAAGCGTGTACAATCTACGAGAGTGCTTATGGTCGAACATAAATGCAAATGTCGTACATAAAAAAAGTAATCGTGTATTTACTAAATTAACCAAGTACGATCGCTATTTTACGCAAAAATGGTCGAGATTATGGAAGCGGTTACCCGTACAACATAAAAATCCAACGTGGATGGTATCGTAACTTACTAGTCTATCTGAAAATTAATAGACGCTAGGCTAAGGGATTCTAATAGGGGAAGGGATATCACGAAACATTTATCTTAACTTTTGTACACTGAGATGTTAAATTGACTAGTGCTACGAATGGAAAACATTGATTTTTCAGGTGCTCGAGCCCTCTAGCTGAACATTATGAAATCTTTCTAACAAACGAAGTACACCTATACATATACATATTGCACGTGCCCCTATGAACAAACAGATAGAATTAGATAGATTAGAAACTTACAGAATATCCTACGAGGAAAGTTGGATATCGTTCGAACAACGGATAAATGGATAAAAAATGTTAATGAAATATTTCTCAATATTCAGCCTAGTAGGTGTCACGTTGACCTTTTGCTACTTATGGATGGATTACATGAATTGGGCCTTCGTGGGCATAAAAATTCTACACGAACAAGAAACCTTCTGTCGTACTTTACCATTTTTTTTTTCCTCTTACGATACACCTATCGGAACTAATACGCTATACTCGTAAATACAGTCACGGTGGAGACTTTCGACTATCGTTACAAATCACGTAATCCACGTAAAACTTTGACCAATGTTCGCTACAATATTTCTGGAACACGACGGCGACGATTGTACGCTCCGCGAATTTAGAAATCTTTTCTCTTGCGATTGAATTAAAACGAATATCGGCACAGTCTCCGTTTGGGCACACCTGTTCCCCGATTTGCACGGTAGATTGGTTCCATGGAATATCGTGTAAATAACCATGAGTTTTTGTTGAAAAGCTGTGCAAATAACGAAAAAGTAATGTACGTAATTTTAATCTGTTTATTAATGGAATTCATTTGTTTCAACGTAAACGAAAAATGAAATATAATTTTGAAAGTTGTGTGAAAATGAGATCGTGTAAAGAAAGTAGCGTGTAAATCGGGGCATAGATATATTTCCTTTTAGATTCTACTCTAGATCGATCGCGATTATTCCGTTAAGGGTTATCGTTTTTTTTTATAAAAATCTAATTTCCGCAGAATAATTGTATCGTAATTTAATTATACACATTCGGCACAACCACACACCGATTCCCCATCGATATATATTCAGGACATTTTGAACGTTATCTCAAGCTTACGGATAGTATACTTCTAGTTTATACGCTACGCATACCGAGTTCACAGTTAATGGCAGTTAAGCGCAGATCAGGCGAGTCTTTTAACGTTTTTAGCTACTATCGGTGTGAGCCGAAGATGGACAGGATTAGACTCGATTAATAGATAAATTCAAACATTTTTAAGCGAGTGCACTCAATTTCGACACTTTCAATTTATTTTATAAATAATAAAGCATTATTATTTTTAGGAAGAAAGTAAGAGTATCTCATGGATCTCATGACATTTTATATTTTCTTATATTATAACATAGACTAAAAATAGTGCTCAGAATTTTCTATTATAGTATTATTCAAAATGACGATTGTCTAAAAATGTGTCAGTAATTGGGCCATTTACTTCATAATGTTCAATGTAAAATATAATTTGATTTTGAATTTGATTTGATTCTACGATTCGATACCGTAACTTTGATCAATAATTGTATATCTTTAATTCTCGAGTTGGAATTTTATATCTAGACAACTCACGTTGTTTTTAAATTTCCAAAATAATTCGAATAGTCTATATGAATATAAAAAATCGTGACGTTTGCGACAAATCTAGAATACAATTTATCCACCTCGACTCATCGTGACTCTTATAGCTTTCCGTAAAGACTTACTACTACCTATAATACCACTTACAACTGATAGGACGCCTTTAGAAGCAAAGGACTATTCGCTCCACTCGCTTGACTTGCGCTTCGTTATGAACATTCACTGCGTCACGTCTTACTTTGTTAATTAACGCGACGAACAATCTTCTTAAAGTAATCGGTTCAATATGAACTCTCGATTCGTACGTATTTGTTTACGAGCCTATGCTAAACGTGAACGGTTCCTTGTACGATTACAATCACGAAAATTTGAGTAGCAAAGTAGACGATAGAGCAAGGGAACTGAATCTCGAATTCAAACGTTCGCTGTTATACAGACAAGTATGCATTCGGTATATTTTATCTCAAGGACGATGATTGATCAACGATATCGTATAGAGATGTCACTGAACAAAAAATGGTAACGGAAAGTTTTAGCACTATATTTTTTTTTTTAATCACATTAAATTCTACGCTTCCTTCTACGTTGGAAAGAGAATTGCTTAAGGAGCTATATACGATTAGACACTAAAAAAGGCATGATTGTATGAATCTTTGTAAAGTATATTATAAAGTTCTTCCTGATTTCAAAAGTTGCCTTTTTATTTAAAGACGATGATATACTTTAGAAAATTATCCGATTCTTGTTTTCTATATATGTCGTTTGATAATTAATAATAATCCCTTTCGTTTTCTTTAAACAAAAATTCACAAAGTCGAGCCATCTTTTATAATGCCCAACCGTACATAACTTCTTCAGAATTGTTTAAATAGAATGTTAACGCATAAATGATAACTGGCGACGTGTTCAACTCATTTGGCGTTATCCCTTTCAGATCTAATGGACTAAATTTAACGTTTTAAGCTCGAGTACTTGGTTGCGGCGATCACAATATGCGACGCGCTATAAAATGTATCGACGGTACATTTAACTACAATGAAAGACTTTTAATCAAAGTCGAACATATTTACGATCAAAAATCAAGTGAAAGACAAACATGACAGTACTTGAAAATAAGTCCACTGATAACCAACCACGCGTTCGATCTTCGACGCTAAACGGAGTAATAAATTAACAGACAAGGAGAGCTCTGTACTAACTAAACGTAACGTCTACAAAACTACATTCATCAACAATTTCCGTTTCTCAAATTATAATTACTAAACAGAACCGTATTTTAATATCAATTTTCGCAGTTTCGGTACCTGCAAAATGATAAAGTAGTCCTCCAAATGAATTACACATTGACGTTATTAAAACGATCCAATATATTCTTCTAGGCAATATATCTAATTAAATTTCGTTAGAAGAGAACCAAGGACCAAAAAACCATTTCTTGCCCAAGGGCCCGAGAAACATAGGTAGTAAGAAATCCGATCGCTAGGTACGCTTAACCTGTTTAAAAGATGTGTGGAGCTAATTGCAATTTCCATAAAGAAACAGGCCTGGCGAACACCGTGACCTGGCCCTTCTCCTTTCCACCAACTAAAAAGACGTACAGCGGCGCTGGCCCGTAAGACGGAGTTTCCGAATCGTGGATATCCGCCGCGGCCACCTTCGCCCTTTGTCTCTCCGCCCTTGAAGCGCTCACGGCTCTTCTGGATGGAGAACCTAATGGCAAACTTTTCGGCGGAGCTCTAGGCACCCTCTTGATTTCTTGAAGCTCCAACAGCTCCGCGAACGTCTGCGAGGCGGATCTTCCTGGCTCGTCCTCCAACACGCTATCCGGTGGGCTGTTCAACATCTTCGCGTACTTGCCGTCTTGGGGCTGTGGCTGCTGGTGATGGTGACCTCTCGTCTCGTCCAAGCCAAGGTAATTCGGATTGCAAAAGCCGAACTGACCCTCGCGTATCGTCGACGGAGTCACTATGGGACGGTATTGCTTGGACTTTCGCCCTGACGGCCAATCGTCGTCGGCGAGGGGATCCCCAGGACTCCTGGCCTCTATACTCGCGTAATCCGACGTCGACTCCTCGCCTTCCTCCAGATCGGCGAACCTGACCGAGGCTGACGTCGGGATCTTCGCGGTGGTCGGCGTCTTTGGCGTCTGAAGCGCTGCTTCGTATAGATGGGAAGTGTAACTCTCGCCCCGGGTCGGCTGGCAGGCTTGATGAATGGCCGCGAAGTCCCTAGAAAATGGAGGAAGGTCTGTTTAGTTCTCGGCGAGAGTAGTAATGGGAAAAACCTTAGGTTTCGAATATATCTGAAGTTTGCCGATGTGTCTGTCTCGTTTCTTTCTTTGAAAAAT